ACATTCGAGGCAACGTGCTGCAAAAATTATCGAAATTACAGATACTACTGATAATAGATACTACAAAACTGAAAAAAACACGAAAGGTTACTAAACGTTATAGCAAAAGAGTTATAGAATGTTTTATAATATTGCTAAGGTCATAATTATTTTCGACCCTTCGTTTTCAAAATCGATCACAATCGAGAACAGTGTTGCGTAACGTATACATCACTAAATGTTAAATTTGGCCAAAGAAATGTACAAGCGGCCGTACCATGAAACTGAATGCATTATACATAAAAGCATTCCTTCGATATTCATGGCGTATTAACAAAGGATCACAAATATATTGCACCAAGTAAAAGCCGCAATGTATTACAAATCATAATGTGTACACGCAGTTGCATTTTAGTTTTCTCGAAATTCATAAAAAACCAAAATAATTGTTTTTAAAATAAATTATGCATCTGATTACAAAATCACTTGCCCGTAGAAGAAGACGTCCCTGTTTACCCACAGTTATGGTACTTTTGCAGTTTATAATGGCCCAATTAGTCATTTTTCGCGTTTTCGACTGATGTTTATCTACGATAACGGTCGAAGTGTAGTAGCGGCAACTAAGTGAATTTCACTTATTTTGGGCACGCGAAGTATGTACACTTACAGCATCTATCTAGGTCTGTGTTTATAAGCGATTGTATCAATGCAATCGGGCCTTTGTATCGATGCAATCGCGCGTTTGTATCGATGCAACCGCCTATAAATAGCAAGTGTATCGATGCAATCGCGCGTTTCACAAACGCGCGCTTTTGTTTCGCTGCTAAAAGTCGCCATGTGTAACCACTCTAAGATTTAAATTTGACTCTTTGGCGCTTTGACTGTTATCATGATCCAAATCCAAAACGTGAGCTTGATGTGTGCTCTAAACTGTACGGGAACCCAAATTGTACCCCAAAAGGTAATTCCCTGCTAAAATTTGTTACGACTCTGTACGCTTGTGTTACACTCTGTAAAGGTAACTAAAGTACGTATGAAGTCTGAATTACTGTTCACGAATAAATGATCTGGTATATCTTTGTCTTCTTTTTCCCTAATCTCTTTTATTCTGTTACAGCATCCCGTATTAGAAAGTATTCTTTGTACAAACCAGTCAAAATATAACGATTCCGATATTAAAATGAAGACATAATTCTATAGTTACGAGAGGATCTACATCAGTGCTGAAATACTGCTCAGAAAACATTGCGAAATGCTATTTTTTAAATATTTATTGTTGTTCACCTAGGTACTTCAAAAGTTATTATATTAAAGAATTAATATGTCCTCTGATAAATGTGTTTTTAATTCTGTTACATAAATAATGTTTGAAAACGTTATCTCATCTCACGACAAAGTTATTGTTAACCTAGGGGGCAACCACAACAGTTTTTTATTTTGATAAATAAAGCTGTGCGTTTTCCTTGTAGACATACAAGTAACCTACAAGTTGTATTTGAGTACTCAGTGTATTTTTTGTGGGTTAAGCGACTTATATTGCAATAATGAGTGCACAGTTAAAATTTTCGGTGATTGTTATTGTCATAATTTGTACAATAATTAATATATCGAATGGAAAGTCAAAGATGGACCATCCACCTCACTGCACAGTAGTGACGAAAGGTAAAGTTAAAAGCTTTTATTACTGTCTCTGTTATTTTGTACAACTTAAAAGGTATACAATACTTTTATCAGCTATATTCCTAGATTACTACTAAAACGAATTTCTAACATCTTACACAATATAAATAAGTAGGAACAAGGACTTTATTGTTACATAATTATAAGGAATTTTATCAAGGGTGCCATATATTTAATAAAAAAAACAAATTTCAACCTAGTTATAAATATACCTAGGTTAAAATAAACTTAAAACTTTTTTTACAATGCCAAGTGATGGGACGAACAAGTCGTGCGCCTGTATCCATAGCAGTTGCAGTGCCACTCTGAGCTTTAAATCGCATAGATCTCAGGGGCACTGCCACTACGCCCATCATCCTGGGACACAAATTGACAAGTCCCATGTGACTGTAACTTCACTAGCACTCTTACCCCTCAAAACCGGAACGCAGTAATAGTCGCATTATTGCTTGGCAGCAGAAATAGGTAAGGTAGCAGTACTTCCCTGGACGAACTCTTTCACAACGAACTCTACTGCTACTAACTCCCTCCATCTTCCTATCAACGCAGTCCTAAATCGATGCTCATCATTATTTCAGACACAGACTATCAATCAAAGTACAGATTCGATTACAAACCGGCATACCTCATTCCCGGGCAACGAGAAGCTTTTCAACCGGTAAGAAGTCATAGAGAAAAAAGTTGGTGCTGTGACCAGACAGCTGGTGCACGGTCACTTCCAGCAAAGTTAATCATTTTGGTTTGGTGCCGTGTTTCTTTTGCGAAAAAACAATGTTGACCTTCTGACGCTAGATGCCCCATTGCTTGGTCCTGAGAAGACTTACCTAGTAGAATAACCGATATCTGCACTACGGTGTTCAATGAGCTTTGTGGATCTTCTCAAACCTATTGGTGTTCTTATGAGTTTTCCCTTCACCGCTTGTTAACTACAACTCATTTTGCGTGACAGAGCTGTCAATTATTATTAATTTTATGTAATATTTCAGTTGTTCTGCTTGAACCCACCAACAGTGAACAAGGCTGTGACAGTGGTATGCGACTGGGTCGCCCCACCCATGGTCCAATTCACCATAGGTGACGATCACGTGCATGTGATGCGTGTAGACCCTTCGGGACACTTCCTCGGCAACGCCGTCATTACCACGTATCAGCTGTGCAACCACAATCTTCATTCAGTGAACGAATCAGAACTCGTTATTTCAGAACTATGAATTCTTCAGATTCTGTCTTAAACTGAATATGGTCCGAGAATTTGGATATAAATATTTAATTGCTTTAAAACAATAATGTACAGAATAGTGTACAAAAATAATCAATTATAATATATGGCTAAGGAAAAATTGTACATCGCAATTTAGGCCTCTGTGCTAAACTGGGGCTTAACCTGTGTCTCAGCATACAGCGCCTTACGCCACAGGTAATATAAGTTAGAGCTGATTAAAGTTAGAAATCTATTTGTACAAGTACCTCGCTATAAAATAATTGTGGAAAAAATGGAGGGCAAAAATAAAGTTATTTAGTTAATAAAATTTGCGTCTACTCAAATTTTTGTGATTTATTTAAATAAAAGTTTCCAAACAGCAAGTAAATTTCATGTTTTTATAAATGGCGTATTCATTTATAAATAAAACCCATCTACTGTAAAGTTAATAATACGTGAGATTGTGGTTAGATAGTTGCGAATATCTTATTAAAAAATATATATCCACCATGACTTAGATACGTGCAGAAGTCCGTAGAGTTAATTAGGGACCTGAACAGAACTTTATGACCTGAACTAAGACAAAATTATACACACTTAATTGCCTTTCAAAGCTAATTTGCTTGATGTTATAATAGTGAAGAAGCACATAACAATTAGTAATAAAAAAATAACACACGAGTTCACAGCCATGCGAATGATAATACCAGCGCTTTTGATCTTGATATTGTTGGAGGTCGGGAGCTCTCTGGCCGACGATTTTATTTACAAGTTCGGTAATTATTATAATATTATTGTTATTTCTTCATTAATGTGATTAAGTGGATCAATATGATAGACTTATATTAAAGGCGAACGCAGACAACAGACAGATTACGACATACTTAAAGTTTTATAACGCGCAGAGCACGAATTCCCCAAAATAATAATAGGGGTTAAAGTATGAAATTGCCGATTTGTACTGAAAATCTAAATTGTTTATTTTTTAAATTTTTAACAAATTTATTTAATCAAAATAGTTGCCATTATTATCTATACATTGCTGCCATCTAATGGGAAGGTTATTAATGCCTTTGCGATAGAACTCCGACGATCTAGACTGCACAAACTGTGTGAAAGCATTTTGTACTGCCTCCTGGGAAGAAAACTTCTTGTCACGTAGATAATTGTCCAAATCACGAAAAAAATGGTAGTCCGTTGGAGCAAGGTCTGGTGAATACGGAGGATGACGAATGGTTTCTAACTGCAGTTCCTGAAGGGTCAGAATGGTTTCTCGTGCTGTGTGAGGTCTCGCGTTGTCGTGGAGCAATAATGGTGAAGATCGATTCATGAGTCGGGGCTGTTTTACTGCTAGTTTTGTCAACATGGTTCGGAGTTCGGCACAATAGACATCTGCCGTTATTGCTTGACCAGATCGGAGAAAACTATAGTGAATAACACCATGCTGAGACCACCAAACAGTTACCATTACCTTTTTATTGGTAAGTTTTGCTTTAGGACACTGTTGTGGCATTTGACCTGGGGTCAGCCATTGCATTTTTCTTTTCCGGTTATCATAAAGAATCCACTTTTCATCACATGTTACAATTCGATCCAATATTCCTTCATTTCTGTACCGGTTCAACAAGGCAACACAAGTTTCAACACGCGTTTCTTTCTGCAGATCAGTCAAATCATGAGGCACCCATTTTTCGTATTTTTTTATTTTATTGATTTGACGCAAGTGAGTCAATATTGTGGGTAAGGTAACGTTAAACCATGCCGCTAATTCCTGGGTAGTTTGACTAGGATCGGCTTCCACTATCTCTCTTAATTCATCGTTATTCACCTGTGTGGGCGGTCTTCCTCGTGCCTCGTTCTTTAAGTCGAAATTTCCATCACGAAAGCGTTTAAACCAAAATCGCACGGTACGTTCATTAGTAGACCCCTCTCCAAACGCAGCATTGATATTGCGGGCTGTTTCTGCCGCGTTAGTTCCGCGTCGGAACTCGTATTCAAAAATCACTCGAATTTTCGCAGTATCCATCTTTCTTGTCTAAATTGAATAACAAAAGCAATTGAAAGTCGATATTCAAATGTTTCAAATTTAAAAAAAAAAAATCACAGAAACCATTTGAAAAAAGTTTCATTCGAAAATCTCCAACCATGAAGATTCTATGAAAATTCAAAGAACCTATTGCAATAAAACGGCAATTTCATACTTTAACCCCTAATATAATCATACCGTTGCTATAATAAAGCCACATGTAATCATAGGCCTTGTATCACATGAAAGTCTTAAAAGTAATACGAATTATATTAAAGAAATTATGTGTATGTGAAAATTAATAATTAGAGAGGTTTCAAAATTGCCTAAATCCAAAAAACTGATTTTTCAAAGTAAATATTACGTCAAGATCACTCTCGTGCTTTTCAAAACTATCTAAATTCGCGTAGGGTAGTATATCAAAATTGTAGGGTTTAAAAATTAGTCAAAACGAAAGCACTTACACTTCAAAATCAGTCAAATCCGGGACAGCCAATCAGCTTCGAGTATTTGGTTTGACCGTGTCGGCCGTATTGTTTTCTCTTCATTTCGCGATTTAGTCAGGTGAAGAACTTTATGCAGAGTTTCGCTAAAAAACTAATGAAATATTCGAGGAAAATGAGGTGTGTATAGCAGAAACTGCGTCTGAAATGTCAAAAAAACGGCCGCAACACAAATTGACATGGAAAGACACAAAAACAAAATGTTCTCACTGAGTAAACTTTTCAAGTCAGTCATGTTTATAACTTGCAACTACTTACAACTACTAACTTGTCATAAATGAATCTAAATTAAAAGCTAGGCCAGCAGAAGTATAAAATAAAATTCAAGAGGAAATGTGCAAGATGCTGGAGGAAGCACTTCAATTTTACTGATATAGAGAGGTTTTAAGATTTTAATTTTTTTAATTTAGATTTCATTTTAAGAACTTTTCAATAATAAAAATTATTATTTTTAATTCCGTCACTGTTGCCCATTCACAAGGCAGCCATTGACTACCCCTGATCTTTCAAGTGCTTCATTAACAGAAATGGTCAAACTAAACTTTCAATATTATTTAAATCCTAATTTACTAACAAAATCGACCAAATCCATTCAATTATTCTTTATATTTTATATTATATATATTTTTACATATATGTATATTTTAGACCATTTTTATGGGACTAGAGCTGTTTTTTACGTAGGAGTAATCTTATACCTCGTCTGAATTATAGGTACTAGAAACCGTAGGTACTTTCAACGGGGGCTACCATACTCAAAAACCAATTTTTGTCCGGTACTGAAAAAAAAGTGGATTTGACTAATTTTGAAACCCAGTCATTCTTTTTTTAAGCATGAAAAACTTATGAACTAATTTCCATCGTAGAATTTGAAACCTCTCTCCTGAAAAGTTATGATTTTGCACATGTGACCTTATTACACCAAGGATGCAAAACATAATATGTCAAGATGCATCCTCAGACTGCCCTTTTAACAGTTTACTATTGCTAATATCCGTCCGTATAACTACTACTCTGCTGTAATGGGACCATGCGAAAATCATTTTCACCTATTATGATTAAGTTAGTTGACTAATAAGGATGTGACAAACTGTCCAGTTCTGCTCTTGCAATCCATTACTTGATTTTAAAAATATTTAATAATATAGGTTTCTATGTGGCTTTTTCTGTAGATACTAGAATTCAATGTAATTGCGTATGCGAAAAAATCATAAATGTTATGTTAATCGATTCCGGCGTTACTTTGCGGAATGCCCTATTGTAATAAAAGTGGAAGCAAATTATTACTCCGCGAACCCAGTGGAGCTTAAATTATGTAAAATAGCTGCGCGTGTGTTGAATATTTTTTTCGCTCGACCGAAGAAACGAATTTCTTCGACAGAGCGTCGAAGAATCCCCTGACAACCCCTGACAAGAACCGACTCGTAGAGATACGCAACACGCGAGGGATACCTATATATCAGACGGTGGTATCTGGGACTGTAGTTGCGATGTAGGGTGAGAAAACCTATATGAAAAAAAAAATCAACACTAGCGCTGCTATTTATCTCCACTGGGTTCACGGAGTAACAAGTTAATTTACTTCCATTTTCGTTATGTTCTGTGTTAACATTCTTGGGAAACAAATGAATAAAAATACTTTAGCCTAGTTTTAACTCATCTACATCTATCTGCAGGTTCGCATGAGGAGGATCCTGTAATTTATACAACTAATGGGAAGTTGGGATTGTTTGAATATGAAAAAGAAATTCCTATTGCAACGTCGATTGTAAGCAAACATGTTTCATATTGACTAAATACTTATTGCACTTTTACATTAGGTAGACAGGTCGCCTTTGCCACCCAATATAAACACTAAGGGTCGTGTTCTAGAACTCTACTCAATGCTCAAGTCAGGATTTGAGTATAATTTAAAGCACTAGAAATCATACTCAAGTCCCTGCCATTAGGGTCGTATTTCCAGTGCTTGTGTTTCAATTGTAATCCTGACTTGAGCATTGAGTAGAGTTCTAGAATACGACTGTTAGTCATTTTCGTGGAATTGATTTGGACTGTTTACGGAGTGATGCTCGGGAGATTGACTGCGGGATAACGTTGTAAATGCTGTATCAATCGATAGTAAAGTACCTGATTTTAACAGTACAGTTACAATGAAACACCTCCCTGCACTTAGGCTAGACCAGATATGAGATCTGCTTTGAATAAAAAGCTCACAGCTAAGGCCAGATTTAAGTACAATCCTACAGACGAGAATAAACGTATCTTGTATGAGCAGTAATTACTTCAATAAAAAATTCAATAAATTGTGTAAGGACGGACAATACCTACAAATTCATAGTTCTTCAGAATCTGATGATTTGGCTAAAGTCTGGAAGTTTCTTAGGTCGCTGGGAGTTCTAAGTCACGTCAAGATTGTTTCCCAAAAAATTAAACCTTATTGTTCTTATCATTTATCTGATTCGGTTGCCTTCTACGGGCCGACTAAAACATCTACCTTAAACTATCTTTCCTCGTTTCCAACTGCCGACCCGTTAAGAAAAGGACCCGAGAAAACGGAGGATCCGTTTTCCTTAAAAGAGTTTACTGCTTGTGATGTTACGAAGGGCATAGTTCAATGCTGTTTCATCGTCCAAGACAGTAATCATATTGGTAAAATGATTTTACTCATACTTGATGAGATTTTACCTGTGATCCGATAAATTCTTCATTTTTCTATCAGCAGTGGGGAATTTCCTTCCCTTTGGAAAGTGACTCTTATCTTACCTTTCTGATTTCCGACCTATTTCTATATTTCCCTTTCTATCAAAGCTACTAGAGCGACTAGTTCATAGCCAAATTACTCCTTTTCTCATGCGCAACAACCTTCTCAACTCCTTCCAATCCGGCTTCCGACCAGGACACAGCGCTGTGACTGCTCTTGTTAGGATCACTGATGACATCAGGTTATTATAGTATGTCGCAACAGCAACTGACTGTAATGTCATTGCTTTATTTCAACAATGCTTTCAACAATGTTGATTTTGACATTTTAACTGAACTTTTACGCACTCTTAACTCATTTCCAATTGTAATCTCTTGGTTTTATAGTAACGTGTTCGCCTTGATGAGAGGTTCTCTTCTAGGTGTGACATCAATGCTGGCGTTCCGCAGGGCGGCGATTTGTCTCCTCTTCTTTTCTCGATCTTCATTAATTCAATTTCCCGCAGTCTTACCAAATTTACACTCACTAACATCTTGGAAACTTGCACGAAGCCATTGAGGAAATCAATAATGATCTCCGTCATATTTCGACGTGGAGTAAACAATATGGCTTCAAACTTAACGCAACGAAAACGCAAGTGATTGTTATTGGGATTTCTAGAATGGTATTCAAGATGTATTGGTTTCGCTTGTCGCAAGTTATTATAGATGGCACCTACATTAAAATTAGTGGCAATGTAAAAAATCTGGGTATACTAATTGACAGTCAAATATCTTGGACACCTCAATTAGCTGAGACCGGTCGCTTATTGTTTCTGTTTGCCGCATCTCTTAGACGGTTACGTAATTTCTTGCCTATTGCCACGAAAATAGCGCTTGCCCAAACTCTTTTTCTTTCAATTCTCGATTATGCTGATGCCTGCTATCTGAATTTAACCGAAGAACAGCTCCAGAAACTCGAACGTCTACAAAACTGTCGCATCCGTTTCATTTATGAGCTGAAGAAATTTAATCACGTTTCCATTTACGGCAAGGAGCTGAAGTGGTTACCCATTAGACTTCGCAGGTATGCTCTTATCCGGACGGCGGTCATCGCGTACGCCGATGACACGCTGGTGGCCGTCCAGGGCACCACCTTCCAGGAGGCGGCCCGAAGAGCCTCAGTAGCGGCGGACATGGTGGTCCGCCGAATACAACTGCTGGGGCTCGAGGTCGCCGTGCCGAAGACGGATGTGGCCGTCTTCGGCGGGAGGGGTAGAGGTTGGGCGGTGCCGGCAGGCGCCCACATCTCCATCGCGGGAGTATCGGTCCCGGTCAAGTCCCAGATGAAATATCTGGGACTTGTCCTGGACCGGCGATGGAACTTCGGGGAGCATTTCAACTTGCTCCCCGAATAGTGGGCGCCGCATCGGCGTTGGGCAGGCTCCTGCCCAACCTCGGGAGGCCGGGAGCCCCATGCAGAAGGCTATACGCCGGGGTGACCCGGAGTATGGCCTTATACGGGGCTCCTGAGGGCGGTCGCCCTGAGAATGTGCAGGGCGTACAGGACGGTGGCCTGCGCTGCCGCATGCGTCCTCGCCGGTACTCCGCCGTGGGACCTCGAAGCCGAGTACCTGGCGGAGGTCCGCACCTACAGGCGGGGAATGAGGGACCGAGGCGAGCGACCCGCTCCCCAAGAGGTGGAGCGGGAGCGCCGCCTCGCGGCGCAGCGTTAGCGGGATCGGTGGAAAGAGGGCTTGGCGGATCCCCCTATGGCACTCGTACCATAGAGGCGATCCGCCCTGTCCTCGTAAAGTGGGTAAACCGGTCCCACGGGCCACTGTAGTACCACCTTGTGCAGGTGCTGACCGGGCACGGCTGCTTCGGTCACTACCTGCACAAGGTGGCGAGGAGGGAACCGTCCCCGTCGTGGCACGAGTGCGGCGCTGCGGATGACACCGCGCAGCACACCCTAGAGGTGTGTAGCCGGTGGGATGAGCAGCGCCGCACTCTGACGGGGACTGTAGGGCAGGACCTCTCGCTGCCGAACGTGGTTGCCGCCATGCTCGATAGCGAGGAGTCCTGGGAGGCGGTGGCCTCCTTTTGAGCAGAGGTTATGTCGCAAAAGGAGGCCGCGGAGCGGGTGCGCGAGGACGCGGCGGACGCGCACCCGCTCCGGCGCAGACGTACGGGGAGAAGGCGAAGGCAGTTCGCTGCTCGCCTGATCCCCTAGTGAGAACAGCGGGCTCTGGGCAGGGACTCCGGAGCCTGCATTGCACGGCCTCACTCGTCTGGGGGGCGGGTCGGAGGACAACCGACTCTCTCCTCCGTTGGCGCGGGAGCCCTGGCGTAAGCTAGGGCGGCCGGGCGGTGTCGTGGTGAATGTTCACTGATCCCACGGCGCCGACTCAACCGGCGAGAGGGAAACCCGGGGGGGTTTTAGTGGGGTAGGCCCTCCAGTCTGGAGGGAGAGTCCCCACATAACCCCTGAGTCTCCCTGGGCTCAGGGGTATCCATAAAGATTGTCTGGCAGAAATCGTTTAAAGAGATTAAGACCGCCCATTGCACCACCGCTTATTTTTAATTTAATTGTATTTGTTTCCTTTTTTGGTGTACAATAAAGAATTTTTATATCGTATTGTAAGTCGTTTGACGATAGTAGATCGCAGCCAAAGACGACAGTAGATCACAGCCAAAGTCGACAGAGTCGACTAGGTTACACCTAACCACCGTCAGACTGCCCTCTGAGAGAAAACTGCCTTCGTCAGACGAATTCGCTTGCTGAAGAGGCGGCAGTTGACCTGATGTGAACAGTGACTCTGCTGCGCTTCTTTCAGCAAAGCGAAGTTGTCTGCGGTAAGTGGCAATCGTCCACAAGGACATAACTCTGTATTACATTTTTGTAAATAAGTTATTCAAAACCCACTATTTTATAGGAACCCTCTCTAGAAGTGCGGTACGTGAAGGTTTTGGTGTCGTCACTATCTCCACCTAAAGTGGAATATGATGCTAAGTACAAGAAGATCACAATAAAATACTCATGGGCGCAGGCGCCGGCTCTAGGTGGTAAATTCCGCATCGAAGTTCACGGATCTCCAGCAGACACAAAATATAATTACAAATACATGGTAGCTGTATGACATAACCAATTAATTATAAAATAACAGTATTATTTAAAGAAGTCATTACCGTCACAATTAAGGAATTGAGAACATCGAGAAGATATCTGCACTGCAACCCCCGTAACATTGCAAGAAGCAAACTTTTCTAAATTCTAAATAAAAAGCTCCATTCATAGCCTTAAAATCTCTGTTTGATTCCAAAATACCTATTAACGTACCAGTAGAAAATTGGCTAAGTATTTAATCTCTGTAAATTATAGACAAATAGACTATATATAGAGGGTAAGAGCACCAGTGGCCAGACAGGATCCTGTAGTCAGCCTTTTGCGTGTTTAATTGTTAAGCAATTTTTTTTTTGTTAATTAAAAAAAGACCGGTATTTATAAGTAAATAGCGGTCTTTTATTAATTACCAAATCTAAAGTTGATAAAATTAAGCTTTGACTCCTCATTGGTCAATACATTACGCGACTAGTGCGGTAAGAGGTCAAGAACAGAAATAAACTCGTTTATACTGGTGCCGTCAGTCGACAAGAGCCGTTGTGCCATGTCCGCCATTTTTTTCTCAGCAAGTGGCGTTCTCATAACAAGTAAGAAAGTTATGTTTCGATGTTAAAAGTAACTGTTCTCCACTTGTGTGTTACTTATTAGTTACTGTGATAATTTATCACTAAATTTCGTACAAATTGAGGGGGCTGGCCACTGGAGACTTGGCTTTTTATATGAAATACAATACTCAGCCTCCAGGGGCTAACTTTTGGGTAAATCGTATATTTTTCAAATCATGATAAAAATTTTATCGTTAAGATCGTTACAATAAAATGTTCAAATTTAGCTTAACATTCCTTATACAATTCTGTGAAAAACCCAGTATAGTCAGCCCCATTTGAAAATATTTTTTCAATAAGGCTGACCCACTGGGTTTTGCGGTATCAGTGTCCAGCCGTCCCTTATTATGTAGGTAGGTATGGGTAATATATTTATTATTTAACTATATTAATAAAGGTATTTTTATTATTTTTGGTAAAAAATGACACCAAGACCGACACTCGTATCCCATATATCCGTTGATTTTCACATATAATTATTGTTGATTTTGATCTCATTATTAGGCTGAGTACAGGGTACACAGAAGCTGTTTATTGGATTTTAGAGGCTGACTACAGGGAAAAAGTGTCATTTTTTCTTTAAACCTAAATATAATATCAGTGCAGAAGATTTTTATTTGTTACATTATTTCTATTAAAACTATAATAAATGATTGATCGAGTGTGGAACTTTTTTTTATCCGACCTACTCTGTACAAATAACTAAGATTCAAAATTGAAATTCCCGTTGAAAGGCTGACTACCGGTGCCTTTACCCTACTAAGGTACCAGTGGCGATGGGTCCATTAAGCACAATTTCCATTATCTTGCTAATTGGTTACCAATCTAAGCATTAAAAATGTAATATTATTATAGTAATCAACGAAATTTTTATATTCATTTATTAATCCAATTTTCAACTACCACACAGTTACTATTACAGAAGGCAGCACATCTAGCTATACACGGATCTTGTTTCTTCGCTCTGGAGGCGATATTTGAATAAAACTGCATAGCTTGATGTAATGTTGCCTATACAAGTGACTTGAAGAAAAATTTCATATACTCCTATGGCGACGGAACGGACGGCCTTTAGTATAGGTACTTACCAATGTATCACGTACTAAGCAGTCGTCTTTGTCACTACAATGTAAAAATGCACTGTATGCAAACTGAATGGATTACAAGTCAAGAAGCACGGAGTTATGATAAAATTAGAAACGCAAATGTGCAAGCGAGATAGGTAAATGATTTGCAATTATGTCCACACCAGGGTTATGCGGATTATCCGCACAACCATCAGCCTCCGCAATGATTAATGCTGATATTCATAATATATCAGCATCAATCATTGCGGAGGCTGACAAAACAGACTGCAAGCCCTATAAGAAAATTTCAGTACGATATAAGCTAGGTAGGCAGATTAATTGTATGTAGGTCGGAAAATCAAAATCATTAAAAAGCTTTTTCATGTAGCTCCAACAAAGATCTTAAATTTTTCACGATTGTTTTTAAATAGACACAGCATCCGCATCTGTTGATGTGTAAAAAATCTCAACATCAGCAACAACACAGTCGCGTCTTGGTTGATGTTAGACGAGTCCAAATCGAGCGATAAGACACTGCGTAAGTAATAATAACATTCGGAATACTATTGTTTATTAATATAAAGTAACAAGTGCGTGTTTCAATTATTAAATGATTTGTGGTTTAATGGATTTAATGCAGAATAAGAGCTCGTAAGTATATATATATAATTCAGTTTAAATGCAAATGGTTTGTCATTTAAATTGATATCTTTATAAAAAACGAGTAGAAGTTCTTTTTGTAACTTTTCATTACATAGCAATGAAACATTATATTAGCGAGCTTTACAGACACTGTATCGCGCGTAATAAATAAATCGTGTGCGATTGAGTGCGCGTGTGAAAACGTTGAAAGGAAAATGGAAAGACCGCGAGATTGCGCTCATCAGTCGCGCGCGCTATCCAACGCGCGCCAGTTTCACGCGGTCTATCTTGCACTATAGCCGTTACGCGGACGCTCTTTCCGTTGTAAAAAAAACGAAAACGAGTAATCGCGCGCGAAAGAACGTTAGCTTAAAAAATTCAAACAGGTAATCGCGCTCGATTGCGCGTGTCGGCTTTCCCGCGCCAATCCTGTTGATCACGCGCGATAAAGCGACTGTGTAAAGGAGGTTCTCTGTTTGTGACTAACCTGGTGAATACTCACTGAACTAGGAACAAAAATATCGTGCATTGCTGTATTTACTGAGTACCTATATCCTATATTATATATCAGCTTATTTTATATTCACTGTTCGCCACTGGTACCCTAAATTGTTCTCACTATGTATTGTTTTATGTTATCTTCTCTATGCATTCATATATTTAACAATAAAAAGACGGGGATGGACTATTTTAATACAAAATCTTTTATTTTCACTATTGGCGACCAACAATAGTTTAAGTCGTCAATTGTAAAAAAAATCTAAAATAATAATGTGAATTTTCGATATTATGAGGGTCGAAAAGCTTTAAAGTTTAAAAACACTTGTTCACGTAACATTATTGTTTGATTGTACGATGGAGGGCAGCAGCTATGTAGATAGCTGCAGCCTATGAATCGTGGGAGCGCATGTTGATATCGTCGTGGCGCTCCCGCTCGGTGTCGCGGTGGTCGCCCGAGACGCGCGCGCCGGTGCCCGCCGAAGGGCCGGCCTCGTCGTGCTCGCGCTTGCCGGGCGAATGCGGCGCGGAGGGGGCAGACTGCACCAGCCGCCCCATCAGACTAGCGCTCTTGTCCTTGCGCGGACGCGTCCACTCGTGCGATAGCACGCGGTCCAGCGTCAGGCGCAGCGTGATGTCCGGCTCGAGGATATGGCGAACTATGGACTTCGCCGCTGCTGACACGGTGTCCCTTATCCTCGAGCGAAACACCCAATTGCGTGACATTTGGTCTTTCAGCAGCTTGCGCAAATTGGAATCGTCGAAGGGCATGGAGGCGTTGAGCATGATGAACAAGATGATTCCAAGAGACCACACGTCGGCGAGTTTCGGGTTGTAGGGTGTTCCGCTCACCACCTCCGGCGCCGCGTAAGCCGCAGAGCCACAGTACGTCTGGCTAAGCACACGTCGATTTTCACCATCCGTGCAAAACCTCGCAAATCCGAAATCTGCTAACTTTACATTAAATCGTCGTGACAACAATATATTCTCACATTTCAAATCTCGGTGAGCAATATTTTTGCTATGAAGATACTGCAGACCGCTTGCCATCTGCCTGAACCATAGTTTCGCTTGATTCTCGGGCACGACTCCATTGCGTTTAATGAAATCTAATAGATCTCCATTGTCAGCATATCTCATAAATATAAACACTCGCGGGCCACGCTGTAAGATACTATGTACTTGAATGATGTGAGGATTCTCGATTTTAGTCAAGATGTCGAGCTCGCGAGGAAAAAACTTTTCTAAAAAATCCCTAGGTGCTTTTTCTTTGTCGAATATCTTGCACGCGAGATGCATTCGCTTGGGACTGGATGCATCGCAGTACTCGGCCAGGTGTACGGTGGCGTAAGATCCTTGTCCGATTTTTTTGCCGATGAGATAGCCTCGTTGTTCCAAGGCATTCACCTCGGAGCTTCGAGGGCTGAGGCGCTCAGCCATTGAGCTCTATCGACTTTATCCTAACCCGTTTAGGATACATTGGACATCTCACTACTCACAATATGCCCAAGTTGTAAGTGCTCCTTCTGTCAAACCGTTTGTATTTAGCTTGACTCTAGTTTTCCACACACCTCTCATCAAAGAGAGTAAATAATATATAAATAAAAATCGTTTATAGCACGCACAAGATTTTGGCAAAATATTACGACATCACAAAGAATTTGGATATAAAAAACGCTTCCACTAGTTAGAAATCTTCCAAAAACACGTATCTGCTACATTGAATGACTTTTTTTTCTTTTGTTTCTAAAATTAAAACAATATTTTTAATCCTGCCTGTATTAGGTACTATTGCTCAAAAAAGTTAATATTTTCTTGAAGAAATTGATACAGGCTGTCTTATCAAACTAAATATTTTACTAGCAACATTGTAATACCGTCATAATGCTATAATACTCTAATCTTGTCATTTATTTGGGGTGCATGAATCAATGAAACCGCCCAGAATAATGTACTATTCAAGTCCTGTATATTTGGCGCATGCTGAGCAATAACCGACGAGCACCTGTAGTTGATTGGCAATCCATTTCAAAACAATAGCTCAAGTACCAGCATTGAAGCCAGCTTTTGTCGTCTGTATTAATTTCGAGTATTTTTTCATGGTATAATAAATAATATTCAGTTTTCGGCGAAAGCAAAGACAGGACTTAGCACTATTGCTTCTTAAGCATGAGCAAAGACCTACTTCGACTGCTGATAAAATATTAAATGACTATATAATTTAGAAACCTTAGGAGACTTATGACCATAAACGATGTTTGAGGAGAATAAATAAAGTAAGGAATATAATTGAAATTCAGAATTATTTCAATTATATATCATAATCATACTCTTACAATCGAGATAGGTAACAATCCGTGATGCTGGTATAAAAATATCAATACGTAAATTCATTATCCTGTATTGCAGTCCGCCGAGTAATTATGAATGTAGTCGCAGCGTGTAAGCCATCCTGCAAGATTCCATACGTGGGCTATATGCAGGATAGTGTGTGAGCAATCTCCTGCCTGCGCGGCGGACTTCCATATGGTCGAAATCGACTTCATGCAGGCGAGATCGATTGCATGCAGTTAACGTGTGAAGTCGTAATAAATTTCATGCAGTCGTGGTCTCGGCGCAGAATCGAAAATATTGGCGCAATAAAGAGGCCTATGCCCAGCATTGGGTTGACGTTGGCTGATCTTGATGATGATGCAGTTAATCTATTGGTAGCCTAAGTTAAGTAAGTTTGCATTTGACATAGGTTTAATTAATATAGCACGGGAATATTACCTACGAAGAACGCCTTATTTTTTTCCAATTTTGTTTACAACCTGTGTATGTTGATAAACCACGCACAAAATTAAGTGACTATAATATGGTACATAATTATCGTTGGTAATATTTATATAATTAAACAAAATGTGAGAAGTGCCATGTAGACAAGTTCCTGTATATTCTCAATATTCTAGATTCGACTAGAACTACACCGAAGCAGGACACACCATTTACACTTGAGTTTCTTGAAGTTGCAGGACAGCCTGTATTTAATTTTTTACAATTATTTTGAAAAGTAAAAAGTGTGCATTAGAATCCAAATGAGTTTGGCGGAGTCGTCTCTATGGAGTAATTTCTGAACGAGATGAAAACAGTCAAAATGACAGCTATGTTAGATTTATAAACTAAACAGCCACTATTTCTATCCTATAAAGAAAAAATACACAAAAAGTTAATGCCAACTTGTTACTGCGTTGTAAAATTTTAACTATAGTCTGATGGTCGTATTTCAGAATTCTAATCATTGCTCAAGTCAGGACTTGAGTATGATTTCAAGCACTAGAAATCATACTCGAGCCCTTGCCAATAGGGTCGTATTTCCAGTGCTAGAAATCATACTCAAGTCCTGACTTGAGCATTGAGTAGAGGACGATCCTCAATGTATTTGTAACTGTCAGTGTTAATGTCACTACGTAGTTCATTATGTAGTCTGTGGTGTCACTTTTCTTTTCAGATTAAAAAGGATTTTGTTTGATTTTAACTATAATACCTACAAAATATTTTCCCTCTGGCACCTAGTCGTTTCTTTTTCTTTTCTACAAAATGATGAACCAATACTTAAAGGAATTGGAACAAGTTAGTTTGTTTTAGCTCGTTTCCTAAATGTGCTTTGACTTTTGTAACGGAAAGTACGGCTCTTTTTACCGGCCTCGATTTTGCAGGATCCTTTTGATCCTGACGAATTTGTGGAGCGAATGGTGAGGCGGAGCATGGCAGAGACTCGACTGCAGGATGAACAATTCGATCCTGAAATGATACACGATATATTTACTCAAGCAATTCAGGATCTGAGGGTAATCTTATTGTGATTCATTTTTTGCTTTAGTAGTCACCTATTCGGATGTAGCCTTTTCCAAACGATTTTTTGTATTGTGTTCAGTATTTAGAAACAGTAGAGCTACTTGTGAAAGAGTTCATCCAGGTAAGTACTGTCCTAAAAATCGACTCATCCGAAGAACAGAGTCCGATGTGATTATATAGCGAAAAGAGAATAAGTACGTTACGAGAACAATTTCGTTATTCAAACTAGGTCCTATGTAAAGGTATTTTGAGAATTTTTTTCAGAAATATAAAATCGAACAAAGGTCGATCTGACATCCACAGCGAAGAAGAACGAACGAAATGTACTATGTCCTGAGAACAAGTAGTCTTACACATAGACCTTTGTTCTACGGATGTGTTGAAATGGTCTTCTGCAAAGTAACGCCCGAATCTATTAATGACTTAAAAGTACTGTCCTTACCTATTTCTGCCGCCAAGCAGTGAGCATTCCTGTTTTTGAAGAATAAGATGCTTTTTAGTAGATAATTACTGAAGCTACGACAAATTAGAATATTATTGACCGAAAGCTATTCCTATTCCTTAATTAATTAACATAGTTTTCAGTATATTTAGTTTTAAATATCATTGAAGTTGAATACAATACAATGTCGATTTTGATTCATTACAGTCCTGTTGTTGATAGGATGTCGTCTCCCTATCTGGTCCCCGGTTTCTTATTTTTCTTTTACTCTTTGGACCCTTCCATTTTGTGATGGTGGCAGTCCATCTGCTGTCTGTAAATCTAGCTATGTGTCCAACCTTTTGCCATTTTTGTTTCAATTCAAGTTGTATGTAAATGGCATCTTGATTTTGGTTCTGAATCTTATTGTTTTCCTATTAATCTTGTTGTTTCTTAATTTCAAGATACTTCTTTCCATACCTCCTTGTGTTTTTCTCTTAAGTTTGGTTTTGTTGGTGTGAGCCCATGTCTGACAGCCATAACTCAAACTAGGTAGGATGCATGTGTCCATTACAGTTTTTTCCAATGTTAGGTTGAAATCTTTTAATATTTTTTAAGGTTCCAGAACTTTTTCCAGGATATGGCAATTGTAGATTCTATTTCTTCTGATGTGTTGTCAAGACTTTACCATACATATGTGAATATAAACATATAAGTGACACAATTATTTAATATTTTTTACTATTTACTGCTATAAAATTATGTAACTTATTTATATTACCTTTCAATTTACAACAAAAATTATACCTAAAAACAATAAATACAATTAACCATTAGGCTGCTAACAAATTGACTTCATGTTTGCATGTAATGTAAGTCAATGCATGTAATGCATGAAGTTGTAATCAACTAAATTGCATCTTCTAATATAACTGATTTGTCCAGGTCAGTTGAAAATGTTTTTTGTAATGATATTGGTAAGGCTTTTGGTTTGGTATTAAAATCGTTTGTATTATAACAGGTGCTACAAGAACGCCAGGAGAGAAAATGTGCTAGACTTGAGCAGGCCGTGCAGGAAGAGGAGAAATTATATGGAGATAAGCTGTCCGAAATCATGGATCAACATACTGTAAGTTTACAAAAGCAAAAATATATTAATTTTAAATAATTATTTTTAACCAACTTCAAAAAAAGGAGGAGCTTCTCAATTCAACTGTATGCTTTTTTTAATGTATGTTACGCGATTACTCCGCTATTTGTGAACCGATTGTGGTGATTCTTTTTTGTTGGAAAGAGGGTACATCCATAGTGGTCCCATTTAATTTTGAAGAAAATCATCCACCTCTAGGGGTGGCTGTTCACGCATGGAGATTCATTTTTATAAATAGCGCCTAACTTTTATTATATGAAGCAATTATTTTAATGGTTGATTTGGCTATTCTCCAATTCAAGGCGTTTTTCTCTCTCAATATACTTTGAGTAGTGAAACCGATTTTTAGTATCTCCCGTGTCAAGTTCCGTATAGTGGCAAACTAGGGGATGAATCCGGGTTTCTGAACTTTCCGGTAACCGATTTCAATAAAACTTGGCAAATAGATGTAATTCCACATACTTTTGAGGTCAGTTTTTTTAATACTCGGAGATTATATTTTTAATATTATTATATGGAGGATTGATTTAATAAAGCTCTTGCCTTTTGCAGGTTTCAATCTATAATCATATTATATTGACTGAAATTTCATCCAACATCCAAATTTAGAATCCTTGTTAAATTTCTTTTTCTTACATTTTAATTAATTAATTGTCCAAGTAGGTATCAGGTATTATTTTGTGTTTGAGTATGGGAGCCTTCAAAGCCGCGCCTCTGTAGCGCTTCACTAAGTATTAGTTCATTAATTGTGACTGCAAAAATGGCACGCGCGTGTCACGACAGCGGCTACAACTGTGCTTCTAAATATGAAAATTAGTAGTGGAGCAGATGCAGCGCCACAATAGCGCCACTGCAGCGCTTCTGTTCTAGAGCGATGATTACCAAACTGGTCTATTCCGGTGGTGGTGGTCCACTCTGACCAATAAGGGGTCCATGGCAAAAAGTGAAACCCATTTAGGCAGGTTGTGGCCAAAAGTTCGACTTTTCATAAATGGAATAATCACATATAGTACCACCTAACCTATACCTAGATAGTGTATTTACATAATATTTTTTTATTATAGATATATAAATTATCTATGATGTAAACCCTTCACAACAAACATGATATTTGATTAGATACATGTATAAAACATACCATGTGCTTTTTGTAAGGTTTCTCGTTATACAAGTTCAACTTATTGAAGTGTGTAGCACTGTGTCAGGTGTCAAAAACACATTTGAAAGTTGATGAATTTTACAAAAATTAAACATGCAGGGTTTACATAAAACAGAAAAAAATGGCATGTGGTCTACAAGACAAATCATTTTGGGAACCTCTGTTCTTAGCGAAACTACTACGACTCTAAATAAATATACTGTAAGACATAAAATATGAAAACCTCTACCAGAAATTATTTTAAACTTTCAGCACTGTGTGAACGTGTTCAGTTCACTAGACGAACGCATGTCACGTTGCGGCGGTCGGGCGCTCGACGTCGGCGAGAAGTTGGGTGCTGCGCGAGCGCCGAGAGCTCGCGCCGCCGCTGCCAGAGACCTCCTTTCACACTTAGCGCACTTCCTTAGCCCGGGGCCTGTATTGACGGATTTGTTTAATGATCCTAGCAAGGTACTTATAAAAATAATTGTATGATCAATCGTCAACATAAAAAAAACAAAAATCGGCTTCCAAGTTACTTAAACAACATGACCAACCAGGTTTAGGCTATGGTCCCATACACTAACCTAAAGCGTGTTGCGTGTTCGATTACAATGGAACGTGAGTTCATTTGTAAATATTTAGTAGCGCTATTTAGTAAGCGAATTTTTGTGACCATAGCATAATAAACTTTATATCAGTTGTATAATGTACAGTCAGTGCTCTATGATACTTGACCCTCTAGCCGCCTTTTGGTTCTGAGAGCCTTCTTACGCATTCAATACAGAAATGTTAAAGAATTCCAGCTTTTTGGTTGAAATTTGTATTTATGTGACATATATTAAAGACCAAATTGGTTTTAAAAGTTTCTTAAAACGTCATTCACTAATCATGCATCAAAGAAGAAGAAGAAGAATTTTACAGCGCATAGGTTAAAGATAATCGTTAAGTTTTATTGAATACCTTTGTTCACACTGATCTACTCAGAACCAAATTGATGGTTAGGGGTCAGATATCTCAGTACATCGACTGTACAAACTGGATACGAACCAAAAAACAGGTTGCACGTTTTCGGAGAATTCTCGTTACTGTATCATATCTAGTTTGCATGTTACACAATTGACATAAAGTTCATTAGCCTATGTTCAATTTCGTTACAAAAATCTTCAAATTGAAGTCATCGGTACTTGTAGCGTCACGAGTAAGTACTGCCGTTATCGTCTGCATATGTCGCTGTGAGTATTCTGTTAGTTTTTGGTAGAGCCGATGTAAATACTGTGTACAAAATCGATCCTAATACTGAGCCCTGAGGCGCCCCAGCCTGAATGTCGTGAATCAGAGACAGTGCTTCTCCATATTGCATCGCGTGAACACAAGTGCAACTTGATAAACTAGACCTGTGGCTCTCAAAATGGAAGATCAAAGCCAGTGCCTCAAAATCTCAACATATAATGTTTACACTTAGAAAAGGAAACTGCCCTGGTGTAAAAATGAACACTAGACCGTACCTCATGTTAATACTGTTAAGTATCTGGGAGTGTACCTGGACGGAAGACTAACTTGGAAAGCACATTAGAAACCCATAGTTTTCCAAAACAACTACTTATAGCATTTCAAACTACATGTAAAAACTTGTCAGGCCACAGATTAATTATGGCTGTTGTAAATGTTTTTAAATAATTTGAGGAAGAAACCTATCACTAACACATTTAAATTTTCAGTTAAATGAAGCTGCGGATGTAATACAGAAACTCCATACAATTGCCCAAGAATTACCACCAGACAAATTCGAAGTAGCCAAAAAGAAGATTGAAGCAAAATATGATGAAATAGAAAGAAACCTAATTGATGAGTTTGTTAAAGCTCAAAATCAGGGCAACATGAGCAAGATGAAAGAAATAGCCAGTATTATGACTAATTTTAAAGGATACTCGCAGTGTGTTGATGCTTTCATTGAGACCAGTCAAATGGTGAGTGACCTAAAAAACTTTATTATTTAATATATTGATAAACATGTTAAAGGACCGGGTCAATAGCATGATAAGCTGGACACATAATAATAAATATATATTAGACAATATCAAATATGTTGCTCTCATCTCAAAGTAAGTAAGTTAGCTATGATAATATTAAAATAAACAGTAAAAAAGGAACCTTAATTGTATTATACAACTTTCATAAATACTTTGGCACTATTCAGTTAAATCTTAGAACTCTAATAGTGTAGTTGCAATGCCCGAACTTTTAAAAGATGGGGACAAATGACAGTTCATTCCGCAAAAGTGTTGCCCGCTTGCGAGCAGCTATTGACTGCAGTCGATAAATATTCTGTTGACTATTGACTGAACATTCATGCTTATGGAATAAATTGGCAAACTTGTTTCATTTGAATCGTCTTCGACCCATTGTTCATCCAATTATTGAGCAGAAGTTCATTTGAATTGTCAATTTTTGTACGTTCATACATACATACACAGCATTTAGAACTATGTTTATGAAAAATACAAATAGGAGACATATTTTAAAGTTTTTCATTTTAATTCAATATAGGTACCTAATTAAATCTGGCTATTCTTGTTAAAATGTATATGATATAAAAAAAATGATCTCGATATTAGTAGGCCAACTGTCTAAATAAGAATAAAGAAGGCAATAACGCAATTTAGTAATTCATAATTCAGTCATTTTTGGGAACATTTTATCTTTCACAATCTATTGATATAACTATCGACAATAACTACATAACTATTTAAAATTGAATGAATGAATAAAAACTGGCAACCCTACAAATTTCATTTTACTCCGTCTTCAAAAAAGACAAACTCTAAATACCTACGTTTTAGGCATCTTGTTTGTCTATACTTTTATTTATCTTAAAGCTTAAACCAGGGCTATATTTATTTAACTACATAACAATTGGTTATCAATAGGTAAAATAAATATAGTAGTGAATTAACTTCTAGCAAGCCTTCTGTATCATCATAAGTCTTATTCTTAAGCCAAGTTTTGACGGTCTTTTTACATTCCAACTTATTCATGGTGAAATAATGCAAAGTAGAATTTGATTTAAGTAAAGGTATGTGTCAAGGAAGTAGAAGAATCTATGCGAGTGAGAGTTAAAGATGCGGAATGAAATGGACTAATTGAGTGCTTTTCCAAAATTATTTGTAGGATAAATAGTTTGTAGATTGGGAAATCGTAAGGGTGGAAATTGAAGTAACTAAAGCACTTGTGTTATGGAAATCGGAAACAACGATAGTACCACAAACACCCAGACCCGAGACAATACAGAAAAGTAACTTTTTCTATATCGAGCCGGCCGGGTCCGAGGCTTAAGAGATGGCGGCGACGCCATGAACACCTAATGAGCCCTTACTCCAGAGTGCAGGCGTGGGCGCGGCGGCGGGTGCGAGCGCGCGGGTCTTTTCGTTTTCCCTTTCACAGTGCCGCAGCGGCTATAAGCGGGTCGATTCACACGTCGAAATCGCAAACAGACGCTAGATCAAGCACTGTGAAAGGTACGGGCGAACCGAGCCAATAGATCTACCCGCCGCACAGGCACTGGCGCGCGCGGCCACTGTGAACGCAATAAGCGTCTACGTACATTTAATTTACACGGTCCGCGCCACTCTGAATAAGCCTCAAACATAAGATTTACAAACACAAACACAGATTGTGAATGAATTAATATTATTTAAAGAAGTCTTCAAAGTCCAAAGCGTCAAACTTGTTCTTCACTTGACTAGTAGTAACATGTCTTTATAACAAACAGTACTCGATATTAACATTTTTCAGTGTATGTAACTTTAGTACTTAGTAACTTGATATGAAAAGAACCACTGGAACACTTCGCAACACCTTATTTTATCTAGTATCTATTAATCAAAATGAATTCTATGTATGCTTGTTTAAGACAATGTTCAAAAGCAAATATAATCATGCCTTTACATATTTCTTTTCAGAACACTCTTCTAGGGAAAGATATATTCTCAGCCGTGCTGCCGTTATGCAAAAAGAACTACACAGTGATTAGCAATGTGTTCCCCAACCCCGACCAAGTTATGAGCAAATTTGTTCTCAATATCTTCCACCTTAAGCTACAGAAATACATTCAGACCAAGTTGGCTGATAAAAACGACATCGAGAAGTACTTGAGGAATCTATACGACATGTATACAAGGTATATTAAATTTTTATTCGCATAATAAAATTAGCCGAAACCAAGTTATGTTGACTTGTCCAAGTCCCATCTTGATTTCTTTCGAAAACAATTCAAAGCAGTGATCAAATCTATAAGATCAACATCCCCCATCATCAACCCCCAATTCCGTGTTGCCAGGGCCGTCGAGTCGAAAATTACATTTTGTTGCATGATTAGTTACACTTTGTTTAAAAAAAATGTTTTAATCAAAAAGTATGAGTGTTAGAGATGATGGGGATTCGGAGTAACAACGTCGAGCTCTCTCTATGGTCGGCATTGACCTTGGGAGTCGATAATGGTTGGTGACATTATCACAAGATTTAGAAAATGTTGCGCAAACGTTACAATACTCGTGTTCAATATTGGCAAAGTCAAGACACTTGTCAACTTTTGTCAACAACAAAAGAAAGAAATAGACAAATGCGCAAAAATATTGAAAGGGAGTGAGGAAAAAAACAGAAATGAGAGCAATTGTTTATGACATGATACACAATAAAGAACACATCGCACGACACACCACTGACAATTAACAAATCAAAAACATAACAAAAGAATGTAAAACGGCAAGGAGTTCGCGACATTTATATTACTGCAAGTTCAATATTTCAGTACTCAACGCGTATGCGACGAACTAGTAGCGGAAGGTTTAGTATCAGCTGATGGGAATACATCCACCGGGGATCTCAGACGCGAGGCTCTAGTCAACGGGGCAATGGCGGCCGCCACTGATGGCTATGCCGCTATGGAGTCGAGGAGATTAAGAGCTGTGCTTGCAAACGCTCTCAACACTTACTATACTGAGAAACAACATATCAAGAAGCAGATTCAGGGTGGCGGGTGAGTTTATTTATTTATTGAAAGATATACCATCAACTTAACACAAAACGACCTTCGGAAACACAAACGTTCACAATTCAAGGTGCCAAATAATTCTGATTTTTTTTAATAGTAAACAAGTCAGTTTCCACCGATTCAGTGCCACATTGGTACTATTTTGTGTCTTATCTGTGCGGCTGTGGCGTATGCAAAATAATCCATTAAGCCACAACACAAAGTCACAACAGATAAGGCTGTGACACTGGTTTTCAATGGACCCTAATTATGTGTATAGTTTTCAAGAGCTCCGCCGGGACCTACAAGCGGTAATCGGTACGCGGGCCAACATCAACATCAATATCGCGCAGATCGAGAACTACGGCGGGGAGACCTTTCTCAGTGAACCGTTGGTCCAGAAGATGCTCGCTGACGCTAAAACTTCCTTTACGCGTTGCAAAACTGTAAGTATCCACTGTAGGGCGAGCACGATAAGGAGCGACTTGCGCGAGAGCGACGTAAAGCGCGAGATCTCTGTGTGAGAATAGCAGTAACTCGCGCTTTATGTCGCTCTCGCGAAGTCTCGCCCTTTCGTGCTAGCCCTACTGGTTGTTGCAAGACGGACGAATAATAATTTGGACATATACCACTGGCAACTACAGGGATATTTTAAATTCCATTTATCGCCAGTGGCAACAACAGATCTTTTTATTCCATTTGTCACCACCTGGTAACATTAGCATTTGACGCCCCTTCGTTTTTTTCCCATTTGTCGCCAGTGGAAATACGTCAGGAGCACTTAAAGTTTCCGGAATGAATAACAAAAAAATACTATAAATGGTCAGAAATGAATTTATTGTTTCTCAAAATACTCTCCGTTAGCGTTAATGCACTTTTTCGTACGAATGAACCAATTTTGAAAACATTTATGCCACCACCGTGACAATCTCTGAAACATATTTTTCATACTCTTAGACAGCCTCTTCAGATGATGAAAATCGTTGACCGCGTAACTGGTTCTTAATTTTTGGAAATAAATAAAAGTCACAAGGTGCCAGGTCGGGACTGTACGCGGGATGGCTCATAAGGTCAACGTTGTTCACCTTCAAAAATTAATTTGTCTGTCTGGCCGTGTGAGAACTGGCATTGTCGTAGTGCAAGAAGATACGGGGTTTACGGTTATTTTTACGGGGTTTGTCAATAACTTCCGGCAAACAAATGGTCGTGTACCAATAACTATTCACGGTACAACGATTCTTCAAAAGCACCAGTAGCCACATGTCCAATTTTATTAAAAACCAAGCAATCATCCGCTTAGAGGCACTTTGCTCGCGCACCACTTTGGTTGGTTTCGGCTCATCTCGAAAGACCCATACGCTCGATTGCTGCTTTGTTTTGGGATCGTAATTATAAATCCATGTTTCGTCACTTGTACTATGTCCCACACCAAATTTGACGCCCCTTCGTTGAATCGGGTAAGCTTGGCATTGCACCACATGACGCGAACCGTTTTTTGAGTCTCAGTCAAATTGTGTGGGATCCACCGAGAGCACAGCTTTTTCATCCCCAAATGTTTGTGTAGTATTGTTTGGTTTTGACTCATGCCTATGCCTAAAGATGCCCGAATCTCATGGTATGTCACATGCCTGTTTGTTTTAATCATACGGCGCACAGCATCGATTTCACAGCAGCGGATGGGCGACCATCACGAAATTCGTCACTGAGATTCACACGACCGTATTTGAATTCTGCAAACCAGCTATAAATAGTCGTCTTGCATGGTGCTTCATGGCCAAAAGTTTGAAGCCGAGCGAAGCTCCGCTGAGCTGTTTAATGACACTTAAAGTCGTAGAAAATTATACTACGAAAATTTTTAAGAGTTAAATCCATGGTGACGTAGACAACCAATTTCTAAAATGACGCCATAATATAAAAACTAGCAAACTGTATTCTACAGCCAAAGAGTTCCATTGTCAAATGTTTTAATTACTTTTTAAATATTGATTATGTAAGTGGCCAGTTCCGGAAACTTAGAGTACGCCCTATGTAACCACTGGCAACAACTGAGATTTTTTAAATCCCGTCATCACTACCTGGTAACATATGGGATTTTTTTTCTCATTTGTCGTGGAAACAAAACCAGTGGTGACAACTGGGAATAAGCCATAATTTGGCTTGTGAAACTCGCCATAATATTTTGTCTTATCCTGAAATAATACCGTGCCACCGGTTAAACACAGACTAAACTAAAAATAAATGCATCTTCAACCCATTTATACGTCTCACTGCTGGGCGTGGATCTCCTCTCAGGCGAGGGTTTAGACTATAGTCCGCCACGCTAACACAATGCGGGTTGGGGACTTCACACGTTTTCCGAGGTTGTGGACTTTCTTCGACGTGCAGGTTTCATCACGATCTTTTCCTTCGCCGAAAAGGTCATGGTTAATTACAAATTACATTTCGCACAATTCCGAGGAACTTACGAAGTGCGAGCTCGTTTCGAACCCACGGCTCCTGTTTGAGAGGCGGTAGGTCAAACCATTAAGCTACCAAGCTGTAGTATGTTTTAAAAATACGATTTATACGAAAAAACAAAGACACATTATGCATTTCTCCATTTTTCCACAGAGATCATCCATATTGGGTAAACGGATACATATTTCGTGCTTTGATTGTAGGGTCTCTGGTTCGAATCTACCCGGATCGAAGAAATTTTCCTTATGTTTCTTCGATCTTTGCATCAACAATAACACCAAACTAGAGGATCAGTCATCATATTTTTTTGTATCTCACAAAAGACATTCAATAAACCATAATCGTGGCGTTTTGTTGTATTTGTGGTAATTGTGCCTGGTTGGCAAAAAAATACTGCGAAATCTTAGAATTTTGGTTCGCGATTTTGTTGTAGAGCGTAAAAGATTGAATAATTGTTTTTTCTCGCAATCGAAGTTAAAATTAAAGTTACACCCAAGACTAAAAGTCAATATAAAGCCTCGGAGTAATAGACACCCTCACTAAAGCTCGGATGGCTAACCAACTCGGGTATAAATTCGCTCGTTTTAGTCGCTCGATAAAAATATACTATTCAATTATTTTTTTGTCAATTGTTTAATTTTTTAATAACCAGGCAATTTGTTTTAAATGTTTGTGGACATGACATATGAGCTATACCAGCCTTTCCCAAAGTGGGCGATAACGCCCCCTTGTGGGCGCTGCAGTCCTAAAGGGTAAGAGACCCCGAAAAAAAAAATGGGGGCGTTGTGTAGAGGCTTAGGGGGAGATTTGTAATTTCAACTAGGAAGACTCTAATGGTCGTATTCCAGAACTCTACTCAATGCTCAAGTCAGGATTTGAGTATGGTGTAAAGCACTCGAAATCAAACTCAAGTTCCTGCCATTAGGGTCGTATTTCCAGTACTTGTGTTTTCCAGTGCAATCCTGACTTGAGCATTGAGTAGAGTTCTAGAATACGACTCTTGGGGTCGTATTCTAGAACTCTACTCAATTCTCAAGTCAGGATTTGAGTATGGTTTAAAGCACTCGAAATCATACTCAAGTCCCTGCCTTTAGGGTCGTATTTCCAGTGCAATCCTGACTTGAGCATTGAGTAGAGTTCTAGAATGCGACCCTTAGAGACCGACTGAGCTCTCGACTCTCGACTACAACTTGTGAACATCAACTAATATTAATTAAGAGATTGCTCAAACTAACTCGGTTCGATATTTCTCTTCGTGTAGTTCATATATCTGTCCTGTATTATTGAATAAATAAAATAAGAATCATGTCAATCAGTCGCTCCGTTGAAAGTAGACAAAAACAAACGAATAAAAAGGCAACAGATACAGTTCCTCATTTTAATAGTTATTAGTATTCCTAGATAGGTAATTTTCGTAGACAATTGACCGCGGGCAATCATGTGTTAACAAGTTTTTGTTAAATAACCCGATTTGTGCATTTCTGTATCAATCGGCTGGTTCATAGAATACTTGTTATTATTTATTGAGTGCGATTGAGCGTCGAATGAGATAAACGAGTTTATGCATGTTTGTCTTATTTCTGTCGGTGCGTGCTGCTTATGCAATCCTATATAAACAACGTAATATTTATTTTATTTTCATTTGCGGTTTCGCGCATAAGCAGTACTTAAGTTCAACACTTACTTACGTAATTCTCAAAACAAAACAATGTCGAAAGTAAAATAGAAGAGACGGCAATACTATGCGGAATATATTAAATTCAGATTCATTGAAAATCCCACAAACCCATCGTCGCCTTTGTGCCTTCTATGTCTAAAACATTTCGAATGAAGCATTAAAGCCTTCAAGACTGCAAGATCATTTGATTAAAATGCATCCAGATAAGAAAAACAGGAATGTAGCATATCTTCAAGACCTATAGAAGAAGCATAATACTCAGTCAAGTGTAGCAAAACTCTTTTCGGCGGCTGCTAAGCAAGAAAACGACGGACTTCGAGATTCGTACAATATCTCTTTGTTAATTGCTCAAAAAGGCAAACCACACAACATCGGAGAAGAGTTAATTTTGCCAGCAATAAAGGAAGTAATAACTACTGTGCTTCATAAACTGGCCGCAGATAATTCTGTGCAAAGACGAATTGATGAAATGGCTGAAAACATTGAAGAATCATTGTGCAATCATCTGAGGACTAGTCAATTCTCAATTCAGCTCGATGAGTCCACTTTACCAACTAATGAACCAATGTTGCAGTCTTACGTGAGGTTTATTAAAGATGAGAAAATATGTGAAGAACAATTGTTTGCTAGAAATTTAGAGACCGATACAAAAGGCGAAACCATGTTCAATACATTAGAAAAATCTTGTGATGAGAAAGAGATTCCCTTGAAAAATATTATATCAGTTGCTACGGATGGCGCTCCGGCTGTGACAGTGTGCCATAAAGGCTTTATAGCGTACTTAAAAAATAAAATTCCAGATGTCCTTGCTGTACATTGCGTTATTCATAGACAACATTTGGTTGCTAGAAATTTAAGTGAACGACTATTTTATTTACTGCAATATGTCATCAAAGCAGTCGATAAAATCCGTAACAGCTCTGTGAATGATAGATTATTTCATCAGCTTTGTGTTACTAATGACGAAGATTTCAACAGTTTGTTGTTTAATACTGAAGTTCGTTGGCTATCAAGAGGCAATTGTCTGACTCGATTTTACAACCTGTTTGACTCTGTGATTGAGTTCTTGGAAATTAAAGATACAGAATTGCGCATCAAGCTCATTACATCAAAGAATGATATAGCTTACATGACAGACCTGTATAAATTGTTCAACGACATGAATCTCCAACTGCAAGGCGATGAACTAAATTTAATTAAAACAAAAAATGTCGTTGCTGCTTTCGTTGCCAAACTGCTTCTACACAAAAAGAATATGGGCAGACGTGAGTTTCACAATTTTCCGAATTCATCAGTATCCTGCAGTAACGACGACTTGTTTGCCTACTGCCAACATTTGGAAAACCTTCTCATTGACTTCACCGAACGATACCAGGACATTTTGAACTTGGAAATGCCAGACTGGGTGTTGGATCCGTTTTCAAATGTCAACACTGCAATATCACCTCAGCTGGAAGAAGAACTTATAGAATCGACAACGAACGAGGAAATAATGGCTACCAAGAATTTTGGCTACAAAAACCGATCCCGCAATTGTACCCTGGATTGTGGTCAATCGTTCAACGATTCTTGATAGCATTCCCATCGTCATATTTGTGTGAACGTGGTTTTAGTGCTGTGACAAAGCTGCTTACTAAAAAGTGAAATCGTTTGCATGTTGCTGATATCAACAAACTTATTAAACAGCATCAGATTCATCCTTCACATAAGTTTTTATATTAGAATCGATTATGTTTGTTTTATTTTGAATAAAAGATACTCTCTCTGAATACTATAAAGTTGCGTTTCAATAATCATTCTCATTGGCAGGTGTAGCCCGTAAGAGTTAACTTGAGACCTGAGCGCCGTTGTGTACTACCTACTGCGCTCAGGTCTCAAGGTAACTCTTGCGGGTTATAGTAAAAGTCTCGTTTAGAATGAATGTTTAATCTCCACTAATATAGCTCACAATAATTAATTTAATTTGAAGTTATAGTGGTTTTTAAGTATGTGAAAAAATGGGGGCGCTAAAAATAATTTATTCTCAACGTGGGCAGTAGACTAAATAAGTTTGGGAACCCCTGAGCTAGACGAATGTACCTCTCCTACAAGTTTGTTACACCAATAGTTTGGTATGAAACCTTCTTATTTTATGTATTTATTCAGTGTGAGCTCCGTAACTTCGTTAATTTAAATAGTTAGTTATACTATTGTATATGACAGCTGTGCACAACAAATGAACTACCCGTTACAACAATCTCGCTACTAGAAGTACTCATCCAGCATCTTCTCGTCGAGCACGTGGACTACGCGCTAGACCTCGGCCTGCAATCTATCCCCATTGCTGAGAGCAAGTCGCCACCACAGGTTTTTAAATAAATCCTTATTCCATTAATTCTTCATTTTCTTGTTGTATCGACAGCATACACTATAATACTTGCCATAGTGGTGAAAGCAATTGCCAATCGACGTAAGGTTCTCGCCGATTGTTGCCCAAACATAATGTGCACCCCATTCATTAGTACTACGGTAAAGTACAAAATGTTATTTGACTTGTCACGTTAACTTGTGTGTAATTTATTAATTTGAATACAGCTGTAGTACAGGGCTATTCAAGCTCATCGTATAGGCATTAACGTTAATAAAAATTAATTTAATGAAGCTTAACAAAATGTTACAAAATAATTGAAAATATCCCCGAAAATACAGGATTGACACTGATTGATATAATATATAATATACTTAACATTTTGTTAAGCTTCATTAAATTAATTTTTATTAACGTAATGATACAATTTGATATATCGTCGCGTTACTTTCTCAAACTTGTATTTATAAAGAGTGATTGTTCAGGAGATGGCAAAACTTTCTATTTATTTTGAATTTCTTATCAAGGGTGTTAATTTGGATGCATTACTTTAAGTATAGGTCAAAGCCAGTGTGTCAGAATATGAAAGAAATGCGATGTGAAATCAACCTGCATTTGTATATGCAATCTATTTTTTGCATTTCAGCAACTTTGTGCTTTAAAATACGAGCTTGAGAAAGTACGGCGACAATATCCCAAATTACTTGCGACTTAATAGTGTTTTTCCATCCATGCAGATCCATTTCTTCGACATAGTCAAGCAAGCGAACAAAATAGTGAAAATGTTTGAAGAACATTTTCAGGAATCCATTTTGCCTTGCATGAGGTAAGATTTTAAAATAACCATGACTATCGCATTGAATTTTATACGCTTAAGGAGACTGTAGAAATATATGTGTATGTACTTCGTAAACTTACTTGGTTTATAGATGTGTTACGATTGTGTCGTACTTCCGTTTCCTCCAATGGCATCAGTACTTTAAACTAGCTTATTATTCCAAGTACTATGACCAGTTTAAGAGCCTATGCACATGGTGTATTTTTGACTCGCGTTAAGGCGAGATATTTGAACGCTAGCCTAGATTTTAGGAAATGAGGTTTGAGGGAACGCCCCTCACGTCCCGCAATTTGCACATTTAAAATTAACATGAATATAATAAAAACAGGCCGACAAAATTTAACACAGATCCGACGTTGACAGGCGCGCCTATGGCGACTGTCGGGGCATCAACGTCGCATCGTGTCATCAAATCGCTGGGCAATTTTCAAGTTTTGGGTTAAATGTGAATTAACTGCCTCTGTGGCCGAACGGTTACCATGCCGGACTGCCACGCAGAGGTCCCAGGTTCGATTCCCGGGCAGGGAGAAATGTTTGTATGGCTTACATTTATTTCTCTCGTGAGTTTGGATGTAATTTGTGGTTGTCTATGTGTGTGTCCATGGCACCCGCGACACAGGGTTTCCCTAGTGCGGGGCTATGTTGAGTGTGTGCGTTATTTGTTTATTATTTATTTCTCTCGTGTGTTTGGGTGTAATTTGTAGTTGTCATTGTGTATGACCACAGCACCCGCGATACAGGGTTTCCCTAGTGCGGGGCTATGAGTGTGTGCGTTATTATTATTATTATTATTATTGATTTAATATTTATAGGGCTACAGTTCAAAACCAAAATTTAGCAGGTTCTCTGTAGTAAGAGAAATATCTCCATAAAAAAATTATGTGCAAAGTTAGATACTTTATTCTTAATTGATTCGTTTTCGTGATTTTATATAATCGAGTACAGTACATCCTATCGTGTAACGAATTAGCACGTTCTTTAGACAATATCCTTAGGTGTATCGTATAGTTTTTATAAGACCGTTATTTAATAGTAAATACCTAAACCATTTGATCTAGCAATACTAAGCGAGACTTTGCCAGTTGTACAACGACCATAGAACAACGATTGACTTACTTCTCGGCAGTAAAAACCAAGCACGTAACGTCGTCACCTCCCTAAAACTTTGTCAAGTTATTTGTTTTTTATGCTTTTGCTTATTTTAAAATAATTTCACTTTTTGCTTTTGTGGCTTAGATGGTTTCTTAATGTTTACACTTTTTGTAAATTCCTTTTAGTACTCTGCATTAATTTAATGTACATGTAGTGTCGGTCTATAATGGATTGTGCACTTACGTACGTTTCTTATTTTGTTATTGGAATAACAATTGTTGATTGACCAAATAAAAAGAAACAGTTTTTCCCCGCTTCTCTTCCAGTGACTCACCTTAACGCGTTTCAATCGAAATTCAGTCACACAGACACTACCTTAGCATATATTATGTTAACGAATTCTGTGACATTGTTGTATACGTGCGTTCGTCATTTTTTGTCGTCATTTCTTAAAATATTGTTTACAAAAGTTGGTATAATATACATAATAGTAGTCATATTTTCCCGATATTGGCATACAAACTAAATTAAAATTAAATTAATTAAATTAAAATAAATTAAATTAACTTATTAAACACACACTGGCTTTTGGCTATTCTTAAAGTAATGCATCCAAATTAACACCCTTGATAAAAAATTTAAAATAAATAGAAAATTTTGCCGTCTCCTGAATAATTTCACTCACAAGATACGAGTTTGAGAAAGTAAGGCATCGATATAACATGAGTATTACCTTTATAATATTATTATTATTTACTTAAAGGCGGCCGCTAGGTTTGGGCTAGTATCAGTTTCGATAGATGTTGTCGGATCGAGAACGCCAACGTTTAGGCAGCAGCAAGGTATTAATTTTTGGAAGAACCTCTTCGAGAGATTGCTGTTGTGAGATGATACCTGAGATAATAATTTCAGTACAGAGTACTAAAAAACCGACCTCAAAAGTACGTGGAATTACGTCTATTTGCTAAGTTTTATTGAAATATCACCTAGTTCGCCACTATACAGGACTTGACACTGGAAATAATAATAATCGGTTCTCACTACTCAAAGTATATTGAGAGAAAAACACCTTGAATTGGAGAAACAGCAAAATCAACCATTAAAATAATTGCTCCTAAAATGAATCTTTATGCGTGAACAGCCACCCTTAAAGGTGGATGGTTTTTTTTCAAAATGAAATGGGACCAATATGGAAGTACCCCCTTTCCAACAAAAAAAAGAATCAAGAAAATCGGTTCACAAATACCGGAGTTATCTCGTAACATACATACAAAAAAATTGAGAACCTCCTCCTTTTTGAAGTCGGTTAATAAAGAACAATCATGGAACCTCTACAATAGTAAGTTATTGTCAAATCATGAACGATGTAATTAACAATTTTTTTTGGCAAATTAGTAAGTAATTATTAATACAAAGATCGAACACTCAGAAATTATTCCTTCGATCCGGCCGGATTAGTAAGTAGTCAAACTTATTTAGATTTATATGTCAAAAAGGAATAAAAACAAAATCTCATAGCCATGATAAAGGCGTACGTTTATTATTATGTTATTACAACAAACTAGTGGACTAATTTTCTAAAAATAATTGAATATCAACTTAATAAATTAGAAGATTATTATTTATCATTTTTATGGCGTAATTGTATATAATTATATTCACACACACATGGCGCCGCTTTGTTTCTCGTCAACAATTGTAAAATGTCGTTGGTCGAAACAAGACTCCGTACGCTGGCTTTATTACTGCTTTTAAAAAGAAAAAACCTAAAAATAACCGGCTGTATTGAATGGACCCTTTTACAAGTGAAACAGAATTGCGTGGTCATTTTAATACAACGTTCAAACAAACATAAAAGATTTCAAAAATGTTCGAACTGCTATCGGATATCATATTGGTCATTCCATGAAGAAAATCTTCAAAAAACTTCCGCGCACGTTTCTATGCAAAAATTTGCCTTTTAAGCGCTGTGAACGCATGTACGCATACGCTCTAACGTCTAAAGACAGTCTCATAGTTTTCAGACTAACATATCAGACCATTTCTTTTCGAAACCCATAGCTATATTTATATTTCTGATGTCAAGTAACAATTTCGATCACTTCTATGTTAGACCGTTGCAGCCCTCTGGTGTTTTGTATAAACATTCTTAATCATGTCAAATTCGGCTGCCCCACAACAAAACTACTAAGACAAAATTTTACAGGAAAGCCCAAAAACACAAATCAAGGTCGCCCTTAAATTTAATGTAAAAAAGTATTAGGTAGGGTAACTTATATATCACATATTTTATATCCCTTAATAACTTATATTTATGAACATAAATAAAGTTACTGTAGCAGCCAGAGTTAAAACACAATATAAACATTGGCTAGGTATTTGGTTTACTTATTGTATAAGAAAACTTGAAATAAAATCAAAATCAATTTTGTTTGACTAATTAGTTCATAAAACTGCTAATATGTTTTCAGTATCAGTAAAATTCCACTATCCACTAATTGTCAATTAGTACTTAGTAACGCACTTTATCTACTTTAAAACCTAGCAAGTGTTTGGATACTTGCTATGTTTTGAATTGGTTAAAGTGACTTAAAATATTTTTTGCTGATCACCAACCAAACTAGGTGTGCTTTACTGCGTTTTTAAAGTTGCGAAATCTCTAATACATTGCAGAATTTTGAAGCGGCTGTCACCGCCATTAGGTGTGTACTTATTATGCGAGTAGTATTCTCTTAAAAAATATTTCGAATCCCTTATTAGGTTTTCCTTACATATGCTAAGGTCAACCTGTCTAAAGCTATGTTTCCAGTTCCACGTCAAAACAGGGCGAATGTGTTCACAAGAAGACGGTAATAATGGAGCAGCTTGAGAACAAGCTAGACGCGGGTTTGGAGCGTGCGATATCGGCGATCGTAGGGTGGGTTAAGATACACCTACAGACCGAGCAGAAGAAGACTGACTTCAAGCCAGAGGGAGACATCGACACTGTTGCTTCACCAGTAAGACTTCATAACATATGACCTTATGCTTCAACACATGGAAGAAAAACAATGGAAGTGCCTTAAGCCACGATTACTATCAAAACCGCTGTCGCCAAAACTCCATAATTTGAAACACAATAAAGTCTTGATAATAATTGGTTGTACTTTTTAACTGAAAAAGAAATAAATTGTGGACTGTTAATACAATTATAACTTTACCCTGTTGGCAATACCTACTATTGCAATTGAAATATCAATCAATGTAGCGGTTAATAGCTGAACGACGACGAATTCGAGATATTTACTTAGTTCTCATTAAAAAAAGCGACAATATTGCAGCGGTATTAGGTATACTTTCGTTTCTTGTGACAACAAAAAATTATGCTAAACAGAAAATGTAACATTTATTAAAGTTAAATAAAATAAGACAACGATGATATAAAACATAGATACCATAGATAACATTACAAGTGGGACTATCATTTATGCACTCCAAAGTAACATTTTTCTGTGTGATACACGGGTTTTGCGCTAGATAATAGACACGACCATAACGTACAAAGCTAAAATGGCGGACTGAGTTTACGTGGCACGCATCAATCTGTCTGTGATATTATGTTGGATTATACCACAACACACAGTCCGGCTGTAACCAACCATTCCCACGTAGATCTGCAACAGGGCAGGACGCAAACCAGGTCCAAACGGAAGCATTCACACCTTATCTATAAAACATTGCAGTGGTACCCGATAGTGCCACGCAGAGATCCTGGGTTCGATTCCCGAGCCGGGAGAAATATTTGCATAACCTACATTTATACCTCCTGTGAGTTTGGGTGTAAATTTGTGGTTGTCATTGCCATTTAAATAAAATCTGAGAATCATGTTTACTTCTGCTGGTAATTATTTTACCATTATATGTCTAAAACTTGACAATGTAGCAACATTAAAACGGTACGGTAAAATTTACCTTTGTTGGATGGTCCATTGATGGAGACTGTTTTTGGATTTGCTCATGTTAAGTTCTCGTTACTTATAGGAAATGAATCTATTGTAGATTCATATCCTATAAGTAACGAGAATCTAATTCGCGTATATTTGTTTTTTTTTTTTCAAACAAACCAACGTTTCGGCCATTTACGGGTCCTATAGTCACAGATGATTGACAGGAAAAAAACAAATATACGCGATTTAAATCCGAAAAAAATAAAAGTTCCATTACCGAAAAATATGTTCCGCATTTCGATTCCGCTTCGTCAGCCAGCGCAAAATATTCTTTGTCACTCGGATTACCTAGACATAAAGCATTTTCTGACCGCCTTAATGCCATTCAGGGTCATTAAGTATGGTGACACCCTTAATGCCATTTGTTGGAACGTCTCATTTTCCTTTTGCTACCTTAACGCAAACGTACCACACCTCATTATTGCTTGCAGGCATGTCTAGCTGTAGTCTCGTACCTAAGTTCGGTGATGGAAAAGATCCACGACGGGCTGGAAGGGGAGAACTTAAACGCAGTGACCCTGGAGCTCGCTGTGAGACTGCACCGCGTTATCTACGAGCACCTGCAGAACTTTCAATTCAACTCAGCTGGTGAGAATACACGTGGTGGCTAATTGTATGTTACGTGTTTGTGTAGTCTAAATATTGTAGTGACGCATAGATTTGACATGTTGAAAGTAGGGTAAGTTGGAACTGTTAACAAATATTTTTTTAATGATAATCCAGATTCCACTCTATGAGTCATTGACTTACAAATAAATGGACGACGGGTCTAATACAAAAACCACGAAAAAAATGTCCCAAGTCAACCTATTTAAACGTAGTGACATGTAAAGAAATATGAAAAAGCTAAATCGTTGAATTTAAATTGTAATGTGATCGCAGTACTGTCTAATTTTGCTTGCTTCGCTGTCAGTCGAACAAACGAAGACTAAAGCGTGAATGACGCTCTGTATACGATTTTAACGCCCTATAAGTTCGGACACTTTTTAGCGCGGACCCGACGCCCATGTAATTGTAAGTCAATGGTACGAGTACACTTCCTTTTTTTTAAAAAAGAAAAAGAAATCTTGAAATGTATATCTAACATTAGGTTATAATAAATAATAGTGTATTTTGGCGACACTGGTGACCCAACGGTTAGCACGCTAGATGAGGTCACGGGTCCGATTCCCGATAGAACCAATTAGGGAAATGGACTTTTCTAATTACGAAGTAACTTCAAATTTAATTTCTTGCTTAAACTTAGACAAAGTTAGTTCGTTTTGTAAATACGGGAAACTTTTTTTATTAATTATATCAAGAGACGGAACGAACAAGTCGTGTGGCTGGTGGTAAGCTAAACCGTAAAGATCTCAGGAGCATTGCCACTGCGCCCGTCTCCGTAAGTCTCACTTAAGTTGACATGTCCCGTGTGCCTGTAATTTCACTAGCTGTTCTCGACGGCAGCGGCGTGGGCGGCTGTGGAGCGGTGTTGTCTTGTTGCTTACCCATACCTATTTTTCGATCAATCAAGTTTGGAGATGTCGTAGGACAAAATAATTTCAGCAATTTTATTAAGACCACCTATATGGAACTGCAAACATATGGATCATAAATATAGAAGGCATATTAATCAATATATAAAGAAGAATAGAGATACTATTCGTTCATAATTAAAGTACGATTTTAGCTTGATGTTTACGTTTCCCCAGTCATAGCGTAATTATAGGATTTATCCGAATTTGGTCTTTGATCTTCGTAATTTCCCTAAAACTCGCCTTTTTGCTTTGTGTGTTTGTAATACAGGTACATGTTTTCATTTTCTCATAATAATTCATACGGAATAAAATTATAAAAAGGTCACGTCACGTCACAGTATCGACATCGCGGTCACATTCTTCTCGCATCACTTTACCGCCGTGAACTAAGCGATCTGGTCGTCGGCGTCGAAAACAGGCCACTTTTGTCGCCATCGCTCACTGTCGTCCAGTTTGTGGACATTTTGCCGCCGCTCGCCGTCGTCCAGTTTGTGGCCCAAACTGCCCAAAACGTTGGTTTGTTTGAAAAACAAATATACACATATCTTTGCTTATATTATGTACACATGTGATTTGTCGTAACAATCTATGTATTTTATTGTTACCGCGCTCAGGTTTTATTTACTATATCGGTTATCTCTCCTCCATTAACAATTCAATAAACAAATTCTATTGTATGTGAATCCTTTAGGAGCAATGATAGCAATCTGCGACGTGAAAGAATATCGCTCCGCGGCGTGTGGGCGCGGCGCGCGCGTTGCCCCAGCACCGGCGCACGCGCTCTTCGACGCGCTGCACGCGCTCTGCAATCTGCTGCTCGTCAAGCCGGAGAACCTGAACCAGGTCTGCGAGGGAGAGACCCTGGTTAGTACTTGAGGCTCCACTTAAAGATGATTATCTCTAATTACAGACACAGTATAATAAGGCAAACTCCAGTAATACGCAGCTGCGCGGCATATGTATGTGCACGCCAGACACACGCCGTGCACGGACGCACACATTCGCATAATAATGAAAGGCGTATGAGACGACCTCCCTGGTATGCAACGCGAGTACCATCGTCAAATTATGCGAATGTGCACACATTCGTCCGTACACGGCACGTGGTGAGCGCCCACCATTGACTTACAAACGCCCACGCATACAAACCGCGCTGCGCGCTGCGTGTTTTTTTAAATGGGACAGTATGGGGAAATCCGAAACCACAGAAGATGCAATTAATTAATATAATTAAACATTTTTGCTAATTTTGTATGAAAAAAAATTAACTAAATTTGACCAACTTCTGCTGTCCCGATTTTTTCGTCTTATACAATGAAATGATCCTTACACAAAATTGAATCGATAAGCACTAACAAAAAAATTGATCAATTTTATTCATTTTTATGGACAACTCGCGCTTGACCAAAAAATCGACTATGCCAAAATTGTTTTTACAGAAAAAGACTTATTGGTTCCTAAGACTGTTTCTTTATATATTCCATAGTAGCGGATTTCTCCTTACTGTCCCATTTAAAAAAAAAAACTAGATTCTTTTTGTTTTTACCGATATTTTAGAACAGTTGCACGCTCCATGGTCACGGATTGACTGGCCATCGGCAGATAATAGCTTTAAGACATATCTAACTTCATCTCGACTACTTGCGGCGTCACCATTGTCGCTGACTTTTTTCCGAGCAAATACTTAATAGGAAACAATAATTTATCGCCAATGTACTCAAATTTCAATAATAAATATATTCAAATATAATCAGTTACGAGAAGTCCCTGGATTTGTAGAAGGGAATATCCACATATTTTTTTAGTTTAGCTAAATTAACCTCCTCGGCCCTCAATTCCGATCACTGGTCATAAGACACGGAGTGGCTTAATCTCTGTTCAGATTCATGTGCACAGTGAAGAGAAATACCTGTTTTACATATGTTCCATTTGTATTTATTTAATAAAGAACTGTTTTACATTTTTATACTTCTAAGTTTTAGCATAACCACCACCATATTTAATACGCAGAGAGCCACAGACAAAATATAACTGCTTGTTGTACCATTCAACAATATCTACACTTTAACATGTGTGCTTACTCGATCAAATGCCTTTAGACTATGATGCCGACGCTTAATACAAAAAAATTTCATATGAAAATGTTAGGCTGTACTCTTAGTAGCATTAGAGATCGTTATGAAAAAGTTCTTCCAGAGAAATACTGCCACTTTACATATTCTGCCGCCAAGTAGAGTGAGTGAGCATCACTGCGTTCCGATTTTAAATGGTAATTTCTAGGCACATGAGACTTTGCTATAATTGTTAAATACAAAGATCGAACACAAAGAAAAATTATTTCGACCCGACATGACTCGAACCTGCGACCACGGGATTTCGTCCCCATTGCTCTTTCCAACAGGTTTACAGGTCGAGTTACCAAGTCGACGAAATTCTTCTGTGTCTGTTATATTTCTTTACATTGAGTTTTTCGACTTTCAACTTGTCAATGTCTCAAGGTACAGGCGGAGTGGTAGTGCTTCTCAGATCTTTGCGCTTTAAAACTTTGAGTGACGCTGTAATTGTTATGGATGTATCGCTCACCACCAGGCCCACGACTTCATCCCGTCACGTCATATAATAAAAAAAAATCAAGCCGAGCTCATCAATTTTGTTGAATATTTCACTTATTTTTGAAGGTCTTTGTCAGTATCAATCGTAAACAGGATTCTTTAAAAATAATAGTCTTCAGACGAACTTTACAACGACAATAGATTGTCAACATCCATGCGAAGTAGAGAACACCCGCCGATTACTATGTTGTTTTCCGAATATTGTTTTAACCAAAAAGCCGAATTCAATGTTTAACATTCCGCGCGTATGCCTGATGTTGGTATTTAGTTTTGCGATGATTTTCCCGCCGGAAACTTGCGCGCTTAACGAATTCTTTCGTTGTTATATGGAATTTATAACATACTAAATGTAGAATGAAAAAAAAAATGCGAGTGGAAGATGCGAGAGGTACGTCTTGAAAGTAACAAAAGGAGTAATGCCAAACCATTGAGAGTTGGTACTCTCTTTATATATGCGTATATTGAACATTTTCAATAGTTCACATTTAGTATATGTTTAATAAATTTATATTTTATTATCTCCGTAATGACGCGTTTACACTAGGTCGACGACTATCTACCCAGTATAACACGGGCGTCGTTTGTCTAACGTAGTTTGCTGCGGAAGTCAATCGAGTCGACTAGGTGTAATCATTGTCGGGCGATACATCGTCTTCGGCAAGCGGCGGTTGACCAAACAACCGAATCAGTCTGTTAAACGTTTCAAACGATTTTTTGTGTCTCTGTGCGTATACTTGTTATATATATTTATGATGTGAACTTTATTGACTATCACGAAGTTTTACTACCATGATTCTTTTTTGTGAAATTACTCCACTAGTTTGTTATAATTATTAATACAAAGATCGAACATAGAGAAAAATTCATTCCAGCCTGAAGCTCTCCCAACTAAGCTGCGGAACGAACCAGCAGACTACGAATATCTCTATGTGCTTGTCGCAGATTTTCTATGAGTTTGGTTTCTATGGTTTTTTAACGACTGTTGTTAACGCCATCTGTGACAGTTTTATAAAATTTTTATTCACTCAGACAGGTACCTTTATTGTATTATAATAATATGGTTGATATCGGTGAAGGCGCCAGTCGATTCGGTATATACTCGATTCGGTGTAAACAACGAGTCGACTGCGTCTCCTTCGGCAAGGCGAAGTAGTCTGCCGAAAGCGGCAATCGACCCTGTGTAAACACGCCATTATGATTGTACAGCCAGAGATTGCAAAATTTTATTCACAGGTATTATTTTACTCGTATTGTAAACCTGTAGTCGAACAAAGCAGTCGTACCTCGTATCGCGAGAGGACTAGGCTAAGATCCACTCGTTTTTATTTATATCAATTTGCTTCAATCGACGTGTCTAGGAAAATTACACAGAACATAGCGTGATGATGATACGTGAAATATGCCTTAAGTTTTATTTTTATTTTTTGTGTCCGTCGATATTAATTAATCGGGAGCCTTGTATAATCTTTCTTTATTTTGATTCAGTGTTCTTTTCCTATTAATTTAAAATATTTTTTATTATAATTCATTTTAAATGCAGTTATTAATCATTTTTTAATTTAAGATTGTCAGATATACACTATATTGTATTAATAATTATCTTAAGGACTAGCCGCAAGTAGCACGAGACAGAAAGGCAAAGAGAAGTTTGACGGCCGGTGTCAAGATGTTACGGGGACGGGACAATACAGACTAACAATAAAAACAAAAATACATTGCCTAGGAAGTTGAGAATTCTACTTTGATTGATTATGCTACACCCGATCTAACACTCAATATTTGTTGGCAGGCGGAGCTGGACCACTCTATATTGTTGAACTTCATCCAGCTGCGGTCCGACTATAAGAGCCACAAACTCGGAAGTTTTCTCAAAGGGCTCTCTTAAGATAATAATTTAATATAAGGAAAATCGTACGTTTTTCGTAGGAAATAAAACCCATGAACATAATTACTAGTCTAGTGCATGACTCAATGGAAGACAGTTCAGTGGATTCTAGGGCTTTCTGCAATGTCTTGGCTCAATTTATATTGCGGCGGAACGGAATGGAAGCGAGTTTTTGTAATGATATTGTACATAGCATTATGAACCATAAAGTTCATTATGCTATGTACAATATCGTTACAAAAACTCGCTTGTATTCTGTTCCGCCGCAATATAAATTGGGCCTTAATGTTAGCCTCCTGTTAAATAGCGTTAGGATTGAACTCCACTTGTCAGCTCACTTGAAAATACCATCGACACTGTTATACATGACACATAATTATGTTTTTTTAATGGAGTGTCGTCAGCACGCTTGGGTACTGAAGAGTGCTGATAAAATCCAACTAAAAGACTAATTTCTATGGACGAAATGCTGATGCATGCTGACCAGTGGGTTTCAATGCTTAGACAGCGTTTGAAAGTACTATAATGCTTTCTGGCACAAAAAAAATCCGTGAAAGTTATTAATTATGTTATTCACACTGTTATTATATAATCTTAATTTGTATAGATAATTGAACGTTAGTTTTACACATCATTAAAATCTATTTATATTATCAATGTCTTTTTTAATGCTCCCTCATTTATTATAAAAACTGTTTGGTCTCAGAATCAGTCGAGAGAAGACGGAATACTTGCATATGAAGCGGTATACAGATCTCAATGCGAAGAGCAAAAGCCTCCAAGTGAACAGTACGACTTACAAGGGCGTCGACAAATTGAAATACCTGGCTGGGATGCACTATTACCGACACAAATAAAAGGGAAGATGAAATCGGCATTCGCATAGTAAACGCGCTACGATGTACAGCAGCCCTTCACAAAGTGTTGGTGTCCAAGTTACTAAGCAGGACTACAAAGGTTCGTGTCTACAAAACAGTAATTAGGCCAATCTTAATGTATGGGTGTGAAACATGGACACTAACGCTGAAGGAGGAACACAAATTATTAGTGGCGGAACGGAAGATATTTCGAAAGATTCTGGGACCAATCAAAGGAGAATTTGGGTAGAGAGATAGAAGAACTAGTGTCAGAGCCGAACATAATCGGGGAAGTAAAATCTGCTCGACTTCGCTGGCTAGGACATGTGGAAAGAATGGGAGAGGATCGAGCTGCCAAAAGAGCTTAGTGGGCCGTCCAAGATATCGTTGGAAGGATGAAGTCGCCAAAGACCTTAAGGAACTAAATGTGTCCGAATGGTCGGAATTGGCACAAGACCGACAGAAATGGCGTACTTTGGCGTCAGAGGCCAAGATCCACTTCGGGTCGCTGAGCCAGTGAAGTGAGTAAGTCATTTATTACAAACTGTATATACAGGTGTGTTAGATAGGTACCAACAGTTATTTGCTTAGTGACACAAAATTTAATTTTTAATTTTTCTTATTGAATCTTATTTACAGCCTGTATAAAAGTTTTGCCTATGCAGTAAATTGGACTCGCTAGAGGTTTTAAAGGCAGAGCCTTAATCTTAAAAGGATCTCCAGGGCCAGTGAATACAGTCAACTTGGCCATTCGTATCAAATTGCCTTTAGTTGATGACTTTATTTGATAGATAAATTAATATTGTTGATGAATCATCACCAAAACGAGGTCGCGGACGGTTACTTTATAGTTTTTTTAATAATATTTATTACACAGGGCAAAGCACAGAATACATTTAATAAAAGGAAAACACAAACAAAAGGTACTACTTATTTTTATGAGAAATTTCTTCCTGCAAACCTAAATACAGGAAAAAATAATTATAATAACGGGCTTAACGTGCACAAAATACAAAATTGTGTAATACAATATTTAACATTAAGCTATTATAAACTAGATAAATACATATTTAAAAATATAATACCTATAAACTGGATGGAACAGTAGAAAAATAATGCTCCTTAACTGTCAATTTAAAAGTAGCTAATGATGTACTTTTGTGAACAGAAATAGGAAGTGTGAAGAACAGTGAAGGACTGAGAATAAAAACCAGAATTGAAGGAAGGAAAAGATAACTGGGACCTAACGAGAGAGCGACAGGGTTGGTCTTGAGACCTGAGAAAGCTGAAACGCTCTTTCAAATACTCGCGAGACGAAGGATTATAAAGAATATTGTAGAGAACAGAGACAATATGAAAATTCCTGCGAAGACGAATGGGAAGCCACTTGAGTTGATTGCGATAGTGTGAGATTCGGTCAAATTTACGAAGGCCAAAGATAAACCTGATACATAGATTTTGCAACCGTTCAAGGTTATTTAGCAGCTCTTCTGTAGCATCCAAATAGCAGGAATCAGCATAGTCTTAGAAGGGTAAAATAAGAGATTGGGCTAAATAGATGTCAGATTTAAAAGGTAAAAGTTTTGGAGACGCAGCGAGTGCAAGGAGAAATGGACTTTTCGACTGAGTTCATTAATATGAGGTGGCCAACCCAAATTGCAATCTAAAAGTAGATCAATATTAGTTGCAGTGCAGCACTATTTATACTTTATAAGTGGAACAGAATTTAGATCCAATATGTCACGCATATGCCCACTTCCCACAATCATACCCTGCGACTTTTTGGGATTCACCACCAAGCCAAAGTACTCAGCCCAACGGGCGATACTTCGTAAGTCAGCGTTAAGCGCTTCAACGGCTGTAACAATATCAGATGCCTTAAAGCTGCGGTAGAGCTGCAAATCGTCAGCGTGGAGATGTTAGAAGTTAGAAGACAAAACAGAAGTGACAGTGTTAATAAAAATAGATAATAAAAGAGGAGAAAGAACGCCACCCAAAGTCGTAAGAGACGCCCGCAGCTAAGTCACACCAATCAGATGAAGCGTCAAGCGTCATCAGAGCGAGCACACTACAGTTAGCCTCTAAGGTAGGAATAAAACCAAGCCGTAACCGAAGGATAAACATTGAAGGAACGAAGAGTCGCATGTAAAACGTCATAGTTAACAGAGTTGAATGCACTGCTGAAGTCCAGAACAATAAGCAAAGTGAGAAGACGATTGTTCATTGCGAGGCGAATATCATCCGTTACCTTCAACAGTGCAGTTACAGTGCTATGGCCAGAACGAAAGTTAAAATATTAGATTTGTAAATCGGAAAAATGTAACAAGAAATTGTAAATATTTGCCCGTGTTTATCTGGGTTACTGTCGTCGAATGCCCTCGTTAGATTTATTTCAAAATAGCCATCTAATAACGCCAAGTCGCTATATTTGCGTGGTGCCTATCTTTCTAGCCGAATGGACATAATTTTGGAGCGATCCGCGTATCATGTTGTCTAATGGCTGCTCTGTGCGTTATCAGCGGTATCTACACGGCTCCACTACGTCCATTCATAAGCGCGCCCCTCTACCGCGCGCGGGACGTTATTTGAATGAAAGCAGCTGTGTGTGTGCGACGCAGGCGCACCTACGCCTGTGTTCTCCACGCAGTATCCAACCAACCGGCCGGCAGTGCTGTCCTGCCCGATCGCGCCGCGTGCCCGCCACCAAAACAGTGATATGCCCACAAGTTTAGTGATCCAACCTATATATGAACTTATCTGAGTGCTGTGAATATACCGTTAACCTGGATCGTGTAATCAAAATCGAGAGGTAAGCCACCAACGAAAATGTTTATTTTCATTCAAGCACGACGCCTACGCGCCCAGCTATGTCGCGATTCGAACGACGAATTTACATGTAAGACTTATAAGTTTATAAGTTCATTCATTCATTATGGTTTATTTATATTATCGTACGTGTGATATCAATGGGTGATTAGGGCGGCTTGGTGCGCGCTGGAGATTCGAGACAGAGGTTGATTCATTGATATGAGTGTATAAGGTTGACTTCGTAATCGATGTGTGAGATACAAGTGTGCATTTCTATGTTAGCTGTAGTCCAAAGTTATGCTGTTAATAGTTGGATTCTTTTTGTGTGGTAAGTCGTTATCTAGGTAAGGCCACAATCGCTCATTCGCTCCGCTTCGAGTGGTGTTTTTATCCCGACGGCGGCGGCGGCGTTACCTGCGCCATGGGCTATCTACGGGTGGCAACTAATGGCGAGCCTGCTAGCTCCTCAACTAAGCTGCCAACTAAATTACACAGCGTACCACACACCACTTTACCACACCATTTCTTTCAACAGCTATGGTACTACTTTCAGTTATCATAGTTCACGGTAACTCCTCAAGCTTAAAAATTCTCCAACAATTTATTTTGGGCCTGCACTTTAAATCCTCATTAATTTGAAAAGCAAATCATGCAAGCAGCGCTTTAACCACGGACATAAAAAAGAGAGAGAAATTAATTTCTTTTTCTTTATGGGTCCTTCGAATGTTGGCTATTAAAGACCAATGTTGATTGGTGAATAACGTAAAATAATATATGTAGATGGAACCTACCAATGTCGTAGTTCAATAACATAGACCTTAGTTAAATAATAGTTTGTATTACTAGCAATTCTTTTATTACATTATAGGTGCATAGAAATAGCATCATATTTCATAACAAACCGTTTCTCGATCAATAATTCAAGCCGCATTAAACCTTTCGCTATTCGAAGGGTGACGATAAGATAGAAACAATAAATCAAAAACTTTACGATCATGTTTACTGTGCACCGAGTGTGGTAGACGTTAAACTTGGACTCTCTTCACAGAACAAGGCCTTTAAATCTTCTAATGCAAATACAAATAATTGGGTAATTATGGAGTTATACCAAATTCTGGTCACGTGACGGGCCCACTCATGGCTGTGATAAAGTTATCAAGATAAAATTAATTCATGAATCAGATAACAGAATCGCTTATAAACATGCGTGTAGGCATTTGGTTTCGACTTGTACAAAAATCGCTAGTACATGGGGCACACTATAAGTTTCCGGAATGAATAAGAAAAAAATACTGTAAATGGTCAGAAATGAATTTATTGTTTCTCAAAATATTCTCCGTTAGCGTTAATGCACTTTTTTATACGAATGAACCAATTTTGAAAAAAAAAATTATACTACTCCTCCGTGACAATTTCTGAAACATATTTTTCATACTCTTCGAAAGCCTCTTCAGGTGATGAAAATCATTGACCGCGTAACTGGTTCTTAATTTTTGGAAATAAATAAAAGTCACAACGTACCAGGTCGGGACTGTACGCGGGATGGCTCATAAGGTCAACGTTGTTCACCTTCAAAAATTCATTTCTCTGTCTGGCCGTGTGAGGACTGGCATTATGGTGGTGGTTACGGTTATTTTTACGGAGTTTGTCAATAACTTACGGCAAACAAATGGTCGTGTACCAATCACTATTCACGGTACAACGATTCTCCAAAGCAACAGCAGTCACGTATCCAGTTTTATTAAAAAAAGAAGCAATCATCCGCTTAGAGGCACTTTGCACGCGCGCCACTTTGGTTGGTTTCGGCTCATCTCGAAAGACCCATACGCTCGATTGCTGCTTTGTTTTAGGATCGTAACTATAAATCCATCTTTCGTCACCTGTGACTATGTCCCACACCAAATTTGACGCCCCTTGTTGTATTTAGTAAGTATGGCATTGCACCAAATGACGCGATCCGTTTTTTGAGCCTCAGTCAAATTGTGTGGGATCCACCAAGAGCACAGGTTTTTCATACCCAAATGTTTGTGTAATATTGATTGTATTTGACTCATGCCCATGCCCGAATCTCATGGTATGTCACATGTCTGTCTGTTTTGATCATACGGCGCACAGCATCGATGTTTTTGTTGTTCACAGCAGACGGGCAGGACGGGCGACCATCACGAGATTCGTCACTGAGATTCACACGACCGCGTTTAATTTCTGCAAACCAGCTATAAATATTCGTCGTGCATGGTACTTCATCGCCAAAAGCAGTTTGAAGCCGAGTGAAGCTCCGCTGAGCTGTTAAATTACACTTAAAGTCGTAGAAAATCATACTACGAAATTTTTTACGAGTTAAATCCATGGTGATATAGACAACCAATTTCTACAGTCAGATGAAACAAACTATTCTACAGCCAAAGAGTTACATTTTCAAATGTTGTAATTACTTTTTAAATATTGTTTATGCAAGTGGTCAGTTCCGGAAACTTATAGTGCGCCTTAAGTATATCGCAAGTTGAAAACAATACCGTCACTAAACGAAACACTCGCTTTTTAAATTTAAACTTAATTACTGAAACTTTAATAGCTATTTCCCAAAAGTTGACTTTCGTTTAGTAACTGTTTACATTACCGCGGCACGGAATGGAAGCCAATTTTTTAAATGGAATTGTACTACATAACATAATAAACTAACGTATAAACTACTAATAGTACTAGTAGGTACTACTACTACGGTACGTTTGCTGCGTGAATTCACGAGCCTGCACTGCAGTAAAGTAAATTCAGTCTAAGGGAGTTACCACACTTGTCGACATGAATTTGCATTATGCTGGTCGGAATAATCTTTATGGCCATGTAATAAGAGTTAAAATTACGTTGTATTTTTTATGAAATGTAAGTGCGCATTTGACCTTCATCGCACCGGATGGAAAGTGACGATGAGGTCGACGATAAAGCATGCTCACCTAAGTAATGCCTATTCACTCTCGCCTTGAAAAGGTCCAAGTTATAACGTTCAAGGAACAAGTCTGCAGGTAGGGAATTCCAGTCCATAGCCGGTCGCCATATAAATGTACAAGCGTAACGCTTCATTCGAATCTTTGGAATATCCACAACATAGGGGTGGACCCCAAGCTTACGTCTAGTCCTCCTGTGATGGAAAGGGGAAGGCGAAATTAAATTATGCAATTCCATCGCACACTCTCCATGATTTATCCTGTAGAATACCGATAAGCTGACAACTTTACGGCGGTATTCAAGGTTCTGCAGCTTTGCCTCTACTAATTCCGAGTCACGAGTACTCACGAGGCTTATAGGTATAAGCCTCTTGTCACGTTTGTTGATTGAGTCCAAGGTGGCCAGTTGGTATTTAACTTTCCATAGCACACTCTACGTGATTTTTATTAATAAAAAGTAAGTGCGCATTTGACCTCCATTTCAACCGATGGAAAGTGACGATGAGGTCGACGATGTAGCATGCACACCTAAATAATACCTATTCACTCTCGCCTTGAAAAGGTCCAAGTTACAACTTTCAGGGAACAAGTCTGCAGGCAGGGAATTCCACCCCATAGCCGTTCGCCATATAAATGTGGAAGCATGACGCTTCGTGCGTATCCTTGTAATATCCGCAACATAGGGGTAGAATTCCAGCCTACGCCTAGTCCCCCGATGATGGAAAAGGGAAAGCGGAATCAAATTATGCAATTCCATCGCACACTCTCCATGATTTATCCTGTAGAATACCGATAAGCTGACAACTTTACGGCGGTATTCAAGGTTCTGCAGCTTTGCCTCTACTAATTCCGAGGCACGAGGCTTATAGGTATAAGCCTCTTGTCACGTTTGTTGATTGAGTCCAAGGTGGCCAGTTGGTATTTAACGACGACTTCTGGTGTTGACTGTAAATAAATAACTCTTATGATGCCAGTGCCCCTTAGAGCTTTAAATCACAAAGATCTGAGAGACAATGCCACTGCGCCCGTCACCCTGAGACAAGTTGTCAAGTCCCATGTGCCTATAATTTCACCAACACCTACCCTTCAAAACCGAAACGCAGTAATGCTCACATTACTGCTTGGCGGCAGAAATATGTAAGGTCTCCGCTACTGAATTATAGTTCAGAATAGGGTTTGTATCAATATTCGACATAATTAATAATAATTATAACGCACACACTCAACATAGCCCCGCACTAGGAAACCCTGTGTCGAGGGTGCCATGGACACACACATAGACAACCACAAATTACACCCAGACTCACGAGAGAAATAAATGCAGGCTATACAAATAGTTCTCCCGGCCCGGGAATCGAACCTGGCACCTCTGCGTGGCAGTCCGGCATGGTAACCGTTCGGCCACGGTGGCAGTTATTGATGACTAATGGCAATTGATTGATGACTAACACCTTTTCAGTCAGTGTTGAGACCATAGGACCTGTAACGAAACCGAAACGTTACAATCTTATCCACGATTTAGAACAGAAAAAAAATAGTTTCATTTCAAAAGAAAGTACCTAAATAGTTAAAGACTTGTTTGTTGTGTTAAGTGGTTGTAACATACTTTTAGGTATGTTTTTTTTACACATAGGCATTGACTTACAATTATATGGACGTCGGGTCCGCGCTAAAAAGTGTCCGAACTTATAGGGCGTTAAAATCGTATACAGAGCGTCATTCACGCTTTAGTCTTCGTTTGTTCGACTGACAGCGAAGCAAGCAAAATTATACAGTACTGCGATGACATTACAATTTAAATTCAACGTTTTAGCTTTTTCATATTCCTTAACATGTCACTACGTTTAAATAGGTTGACTTGGGACATTTTTTTCGTGGTTTTTGTATTAGACCCGTCGTCCATTTATTTGTAAGTCAATGCACATAGGTAATATAAAGTGACAGGACGAACAAGTCGTGCGCCCGGTAAGCTGTACGCCTGTCCATTACAGTTGCAGTGCCACTCAGAGCTTTAAATTGCAAAGATCTGAGACTGCGTCAGTCGCCGGGAGGCATA